AATTGAATTAATCAGCTTCTTCTATGCAAATATTACGCATTGAGGCTGATTTATGTGATCATTTTCACCCTTTAACTTGTTTAAACTCGATATTCAACTGTTCAAATCATTTGACGTCAGTGAAGACAATTTAAATAATAAATGTTGGATCTCGATAAATAAAAGTAAATTGTTTTTTAAAGAAACAATTAAGGTTGAAAAAGGGAACCAATAATCCATTTCCCTTCACACTAAACGATAAAAACATTAAAATTAAATGCTAAAAAGCAATAAAGATAAAAAATTGAGTTCGACCTAGTATGTAATCATAATTTAATTTGATCAGTACGAAGTGCTCATTACACATTTTTATTGACGGTAGTGACGGACTCAAGTGCCCGTCGTGAAAACTCGAGTCCAATTTGTTTTGATTTCATCTTGATAGTTTATTCGCGAAAATATGCTAGACATGACTTTTGCCACAGTAGTAAGGTTGCTCATGATGATGATGATTGATAATACAGAGTGAAAGAGTATCAGCATTAACCAATGTTCCAAAGATTTGTGGTCATTGGCAGATTATTTGAAAAGTGACTTTCTACTCGAAAAGTTGAAATCCAAAGATAAATCGTTGAAACTTGAGGCACTACCAAGTACCAAAAGTTCGGTTAAAACCAGCAAAGACTCGGTTGATAAACAGAAAGTAAATGTTGTATTGCTTTTGTTCAAAACTTTCGGCCACTATTTGCTGTTCGGAGCTTGCCTTAAACTTGTGCAAGACATTCTCACCTTTCTAACACCTGAATTATTAAAGTAAGTAAATGAAATTTTGTGTCACTCTTTATGTTATGTCAATTATCATTTTACATTTCAGAGTTTTGCTCAACTTTATCGAGAACCAATCTTCGGAACCAATTTGGCATGGATTTTTCATCGCGATTGTTCTGTTTTCTGTCACTTGTTGTCAAACTTTGTTTGGAAATTATTATTTTTACAAAATGTATATTCTCGGAATGAGAGTACAATCAGCCTTTGCAAGTAATCATCGCTCTTTGGCTACTTTACCGTGAATTGGGATATTCATCGCTTTTTGGGGCCTTTGTTATGCTCGTTATGGGTCCATTGGATGGCATTGTTGTTAAATATAGTGAAAAGTTTCAAGAAAAGATACACTTTAAAGATACACTTTTCAAAAATGTTTGTGCAAAAAGAAGTCAATTTTTACCTTGATAGGCAAGAGCTGAGATCGAAATCTGATTTCTGTTTTTGTCAATGAAAAGTCATCAAAAAGCGATTTTAATTATTTTTCATGAAATTGATCTTTCAGGTTCAATTTGCACTTGAAGTAGTCACAATCGAAAACCTTTTCTTATTCAAATCTCACGATTGATGAATTCAGATCTGTGGGTACCTTAGGTGGCATTCACATCGTTTGACTTATGAAAATAAATGAACACTTATATAAAAGTACGCCATCAAATCCTTCACACAATACGCCTTAAGTGTAATCGAGCTTACGTCAAAAAAAGATATACACTGCTTGTCAAAAGTATAAGGCCACTTGATTTTTATTGATAATTTTTTTAATAAAAGGTATAAAAAACCGAAACCTTATCGTAATGAAGATAGTTTTTATTGCGATGACTAACCAAGAAAAAAAATTGAAAAAAAATCAAAGGGGGAAAAAATAGGGGAAAAATGAAAATTTTTGGGTCGTCAAAAGTATAAGGCCACTTATTAATTCCTATTTAATATTTAGTTTGACTGCCATTTAATTTAATGACATCAAAGATTCTGTTGCTCATCGACATAATAAGGTTCTGTAGATATTCAGGCTCGAATCCATACCATGCATTTTGGATTGCATCCCATAATTCATCGATTTTATTGAATTGCCTCTGATTTGCATAAACTTTTCGCGCAATCAATCCCCATAAATTTTCGATAGGGTTTAGGTCAGGGCTGCATGCTGGCCAACTCAATACTTTTGAACATATGGATAACATATGTGTGCCTTAATTTTAATCTTTAGAGTGCAATTTTCAGTTCTAAATTAACTTTAATTAAGCAAATGCATTATTCCGACAAAGCTTGGACTAATCCAATCAGTAAGAATTGAAAGGATTACTTAAAAATCAGAAATCAAGAAGAAAATCATGTGGCCTTATACTTTTGACGAGCAGTGTATTTTAGTTAACTTTTATTGCTAAATAATATTTTGTACGTTCTTGCTTAATTCACAGTCGTGAATAGTATTACAATAGTATATGATGGATTATTGCGAGGAAATGAACTGCAAATTACAAATTAACAACATAATCGTGCTTGCATTTTCCAGAACGTACTGCATTGAAAACAAAGATTCGTGGTTAAAAACAATTTAAATAAATACTCTCAGGTATTAAGTACAATTACTCACATAAACCGCAAGAAGTTTTTCACCTCTAAATGCATCACCAATTTTAGCTCCACAATAAGGACTAAGAATGCGATCGAGAATTTCCAGAGCCTAGAATGAATCCAAATTTAATTACAAACAAAATGAGAGAACGCTTAATCTAATTTCATTAAGTAATATTTGTAGCTACCTTCAGTTTTTGATCCTGTTTTACCCCGGCTTTGACTATGATCGATACATATAGACCATGAACCACATAAAGCTGAGGAATAAGAGAAATGAAAACAAAAAGAAATACAAAATATCTGAAGTACAATTCTCTAATCTTACTAATTTGATGTCCATACCTGATCCAAAAAAGCTCCACCGGCATAAACAACACTTCCAGTTATAAATAGTGTAATCAAACCCCAGATTACAAGGGTATTTGATATCCATTTTGAATGGGTCTTAGTGAACAGTCCCAAAAAGATCGCATTATCAGCTCCAAATGAGACGAGTACGAAAATAAAAAAGAAAAGGTAACGATTTTTAGCGATAATTTCATCAAACTCATTCATATAACTGATCACATCTGAATTCATGCCTTTAATAAAAGAGTCATCGATAAATTGTTTACTCTTGACTCTTTGCAACAATTCAATTAAGCTTTTCAATCGGAATAAGGACAGAGGCACTGAGACAGTTATATGAGCTCCTAGGTCCATCAAACCACCAAATATAAAGACAAAAGTACAAGATTCTAGCAATATCCAACAAAAAGATGAAATATACATTGCTGGACCGCTATTGACTATCGCTTGGTTTTGAAGACGCAAAATGATTAACCCAAAAGGGGTACAAATAAATACACAATAAATATATCTGATCCATATTGTGATTAAAAGATGTAAAGTAAAGCGAAACGATTTACACTGTTTGGTTGTCAACCTGAGCATATTTTTGTCAAAACCTGAAACCTTTATGTCTCGAAGATGGCAGAGTAACGCGTAAGCTTCCGTCTCTTCAAGGTACAAACTATACTCTCGCAATATAAACAGTGTAATGCCTCCACCAATGGCATAGTATATCATAATGTTACTGTTATTTTCATGGAAGAATGGATTGGCAAGCAATATATTCAAGTCATCATTTTGTTTGTAAATCAGGATTAGGCCAAACCTTATAAAATTAAGAATCGAAACAAACCGAATAAGATTATTTTTAAAATGAAAATGTGGTTGGACATAGGATGTTTCATCTTGACGGTGCCCTCGACGGGTCATTATCAGTCCTAATCCAATATTTTCTAGAACTTGGATTGATTCAATAGTCTCTTTATCGCTGTCATCATCACTTAATAAACCAAAATATTTCCTAATTAACGCCTTAATCTGAAAGGGAATACATCGACTTATGGCTTCGAGAATGGTGCGAATAAAAAATATGAAGCGAGAATTCACAAACGCCAACATTGAATTGATTTACTATGCAGCTAAATAACCATACCTGTATAAACTACTCCACAAGGCAATCTTTAATGAAACAAAGATCTTCCATTGAAATCAATTCACCATTTTATTGATGTATTCATTTATATGTCAATACATATCGACTTATTGGTCATACTTTTAATGATTGTTCATCTGTGAGTGTTAAGTTTTAATCAATTTTTGTTTTTCAATCTTCCTGTGATCCTATTAATAAGATACACAAGATGCACTCTTTTGGTTTTTTACTTAATAGCTTTCGAATAATTGATTTAATCAGCTTCTTCTTCTATGCAAACACTACGCAAAGAGGCTTGCTGATTTATGTGATCATTTTCACCCTTTAAATTGATACTCAACTGTTTAAATTATTTGACATCAGTGAAGACAATTTAAATAATAAATGTTGGATCTCGATAAAGCAAAGTAAACTGTTTTTATAAAGAAACAATTAAGGTCTAAAACGGGAACTACTAATCCATTTCATTTAAAACTAACGGTAAAAACAGAAAATTAAATACTGAAAAGCAATAAAGATAAAAAATTTAATGTCGACTTAGTATGTAATGATAATTTAATTTGATCAGTTCGAAGTGCTCATTAAACATTTTTTTGTCAGTGGTGACAGACTCAAGTAAGATGTCGTGAAAACTCGTTGATTGAAACTTTTCACACTTCTTACTTTGTCGATACAATTAGGTAAGATGACAAAACCTGTCTAGTTCGCGATTGATTTTATTAATAATATTGAAATTCAGATATCTGTGGATATCACAGGCGGTATTCACGTCGATGACTAGTGCTGTTTAAAAATAAATAAAACTCTCTTTCATTTCAGTCTACTTTTCACTAATGGCAAGTTATTCATTGTCTAGAAAGATTCGAGGTCACTTCACTTAGGAAGACATTTCGGGACAATGAACCGACAGAAAATTTTAATCACTGAGATTCCGTAACGATTCTTCATTGTTATACTAAACTAACTGTTATTGGCATGTTTTACAATATATAATACTATGTAACTCACAGGTTATTAACCTGAAGTTTTCATGTTCAAAGTTCGAGCCAATGAGAAATGAAATTATTCCTGATTATGATGCTAGATGGAGTGGTATTCAATTTAAATCTTTATGATTATCTTGGTTGTTTGTTACTTCAATAAATTGTTTTGTTTCAATTCAATTGCAATTAAAACTAATCGTGAGGTTCGAAGAAGAAAAAGTTCGTGATTGTCATTTTACAAGTGCTAATAAACCAACTAGACAGGTTTCGTCCTGTTGCCTAATTGCATCGACGAAGTTAAACGATTGTGAAAAGTTTCAATCTACTCATTAAGATGGAATCAAAACAAATTGAATTCGAGTCTTTATGTGGTGATGAAATATTCTGGGTAAGTACTCAGAATGAATTTACTAATTGAACACATGAAGGTCAAACTTTAATTCAATCAAGTATGCGAATTGAAAATTATGAAATAAAATCAAGTCTGTTTGAGTAACTTTAGTAACTTTAAGATAACTTCAAGTTCATGATGATAATGATTGTCTAATAAGAGTATCAACATTGACCAATGTTCATTTACAAAGTTGCAAATCCATTTTGTAAATTTTATATTAAATTTCATCATTTTGCTAATAACCTTGGAATTGATTTTGTTTTTTGAAACTTTTCACACAGAATTTTGATTCATTTTGGAACTCTAAATCGCCCAAATTGAGCAAATGTTTTATGCAAACTGTTCTCATTTGGCCTGGTTCACTTTTCTTGTTTGTCTTTTCTTATTTCGAATACAAACGAACTCTTCAAACCAAGAATAAAACGATTTCATACAATAAACTTAATCTGACTCGATTAGTGTTATCAACTTTTTGTATTCTGATAAATGTATTTCATTTGGTACACATCATCCGCAAGCAAAGCTCCAACTCATACTTACAACTCACCACTGCTGAAATAGTTGCACCTTCATTGAATATCATATCATTTGTAAGTATTGCTCTTCATCCAATTCATGGTTGATAAAAATCTATCTGATATCCGCAGAAAAGTTAAATTGAAAATTCCATATAAATTTTCGTCACGCACAAATTACAGACTTTTGTTCAAAAGTTTAATAACTTCACATAATGAAACATTTTTTAAACTTCAAGCTTTGTTTTATTTCGATCTCTTCCAGGTATTGATAAGTCTCTTCTTCTACTATCACCGTATTCGTGGTGTACATTCAAGTGCCTTTATTTGGATATACTTATCAATCCAATCCATTTGTTGCAGCATAACAACAATACAATCTTGGATAAATTTTGAGATCTATTCTGGACTCGAGATCGCTATCATTAATGCACAATGTGCTGCAATAATATTGCTTCTCTTATTGGCTTCATTTGTTGATTATGAGCTCGATACCATTGCTACTGAGGGTTATGAGATGAAAGAGGATGGTGAATCGACTGTCGAAAGTAGCATAAAGTACAAAATATCGTTCCCAAGTCGATTGGTATTCTGGTGGGCAAACAAGTTGATATTTTTGGGCTGGAAAAAGCCATTGACTATTAAAGATTTGTGGCCATTAAAAGATTATTTGAAAAGTGACTTTCTACTCGAAAAGCTGAAATCCAAAGATAAATCATTGAAACTTGAACAAAGTACCAAAAGCTCTATTAAAACTAGCAAAGACTCGGCTGATGCACAGAAAGTAAATGTTGTATTGCTTTTGTTCAAAACTTTCGGCCACTATTTGCTGTTCGGAGCTTGCCTTAAACTTATGCAAGACATTCTAACCTTTCTAACTCCTGAATTATTAAAGTAAGTAAATGAAATTTTGTGTCACTCTTTAGGTCAATTATCGTTTTACATTTCAGAGTTTTGCTCAACTTTATTGAGAACCAATCTTCGGAACCGATTTGGCATGGATTTTTCATCGCCATTGTTCTGTTTTCTGTCACTTGTTGTCAAACTTTGTTTGGAAATTATTATTTTTACAAAATGTATATTCTCGGAATGAGAGTACAATCAGCACTTACTGCAGCTGTATACAGCAAGTCCCTGACACTGAACGATGAGGCAAGGAAAAGGTTCACGACTGGACAGATAACTAATTTAATGTCAGTTGATGTTGAAAGGATAGAAACCATTGCATACTTTGCTAACATATTTTGGTCAGCACCTTTGCAAGTAATCATCGCTCTTTGGTTACTTTACCGTGAATTGGGATATTCATCGCTTTTTGGGGCCTTTGTTATGCTCGTTATGGGTCCATTGGATGGCATTGTTGTTAAATACAGTGAAAAGTTTCAAGAAAAGTTGATGGATCGAAAGGATAAGAGGATAAAGTTTATTAGTGAAATACTGAACGGAATCAAGATTATCAAATTTTATGCTTGGGAAGAGTCTTTTATTAAGCACATCTCTTCATTGCGTCGAGAAGAGTTGCGTAAACTGAAAATGGTTTCCTATCTGGATTCAGTTTCATCGTTTATATACTTCTGTTCACCAACCATGGTTTCTGTGGCGACCTTTGCTGCTTTTATTTTGGTACAAAAAGAAACTCTTACAGCTCAAAAAGCCTTTGTTTCGTTGACATTGTTCAATATACTTCGACAACCTTTAACGATGTTACCAGAGTTGATTTCAGACTTAATTATGGCAAGTACTTTCATGGCTTTGAATTTCATACAAACTTTCATTAACTTTTTTACTAATTTTCTAGGCTCTGGTGTCAATCAAGCGGCTCAACAAGTTTCTAAGTTCTGAGGATCTTGACCAATACGTAACCAGAAACAATGAAGGGAATGCAATCACAATAAAAGACGCTTCATTTAGGTGGTTCAAAAATGAGGCAGCCGAAGAAAAGACAGTAAAGAAATCTCTCGCCAAGCAGCCTGAAATTAAAGAAGCAGACAGATCTCAGAAAAAGTCAATTAATGATGAGCCAACTCTACAAAATATCAACATTGAAGTTAAAAAAGACGCATTTGTGGCAATAATCGGATCAGTTGGTTCTGGTAAAAGTTCATTGTTGAGTGCAATTCTGGGTGAAATGAAGAGAGTCAAGGGTTGTATCAATATAAATGGCAAACTAAGAGTCGCTTATGTTTCTCAACAAGCCTGGATACAAAATGTGACTTTACGTGAAAACATTCTGTTTGGTCATAAATTTGACAAAACTAAATATGACACGATTGTTTCAGCTTGTGCTCTCGATCATGACATTGCTTATCTGCCTAATGGCGATGAGACTGAAATCGGTGAAAAGGGTATTAACCTTTCTGGTGGTCAAAAACAAAGAGTCAGTCTTGCTAGAGCTTGTTATAGTGATGCAGATATTTACCTTTTGGATGATCCATTGAGTGCTGTTGATGCTCATGTTGCAAGTCACATTTTTCATCACGTTCTCAGTTCGGTTGGGATTCTTGGTGGAAAGACTAGAGTTTTGGTTACGAATAAACTAAATATTTTATCAAAAGTTGACTTCATTTATGTTTTGTCTAACGGAGTCATCAGTGAAACAGGAACTTACAATGAACTGGTCAACTCAAAGGGTGAATTTTCAAAGTTAATTGAACAACATGTCAGTAAGGTCGAAGAAACTGATGTCGAAATTAGTGACAATGGGCTGACACATGATAAAGTAAAGCCGAATGAACAATCGAAACTACAAAATGCCAATAATGGAAAATTGATTGAATCAGAAACCTTGTCGACTGGTAAAGTTGCTTGGTCCATTTACATTCAATACTTCAAAATGTTTTCAATTCCTTGGACTGTTATTTTCATCCTTGCTACGGCCATTTCAGAGATGTTGTCTGTTGGAGCAAATGTTTGGTTATCTAAATGGTCGGCCGATAGTTTGATTAAAAATGATTCAACAGTCAGTGTCCCTTATAGACTTGGGATTTTCGCTGCTCTTGGTGTCAGTAGAGGTAATGTTCAGTACTTGAATTGAAATGTTTAACCATCAAATTTCATTCAAAGGCTTTCGAAAGTGTTTTTACGCTAACAACTATTGATATTTTCTAGGTGTTGCGTCGTTGGTTGGTTCGTGGGCTTTGGTCAATGGAAGTTTGAGAGTTTCAACAATTTTTCATCGAAAACTGTTGATGCAAATTTTTAGAGCTCCAATCTCATTTTTCGACATTAATCCATCTGGTCGAATCATCAATAGATTTTCCAAAGATCTAAACACGGTTGACACCACTTTGCGCTTTTTTTGGGGGTAAGTAGCATAAATTGTTTCCTACGCTAAAATGCTTTTATATTATGTCTTAGCTAATAGTAATGCTAATTGTCAGATAATTCGTTTAATTTACTGAACATCAAAGCGTTGACTATAGCAGCATGATTTGTTTGTAAAGTTGAGTTATGATGGATTATTGCGACGAAATGAACTGCAAATTACAAATCAGCAACATAATCGTGCTTGCATTTTCCAGAACGTACTGCAGATGAAAATAGAGATTGGTGGTTAAAGAACAATTTAAATTAATGCGTTCAGGTTACTTGATTACCCACATAAACAGCAAGAAGTTTTTCAGCAGTGAATGCATCACCAATTTTAGCTCCACAATAAGGTCCAAGAATGCGATCGAGTATTTCTAGAATCTAAAATGAATTAAAAGATAAATGAAAGCTTAAATAATTTGATGAAGGGACATTTGTAGCTACCTTAAGTTTTTGATAAAGTTTCACTTCGACTTTGGCTATGGTTGATACATATAGACCATGAATCAGATAAAGCTGAGGAATAAGAATGAAAACAGAAAGAAATACAGAAAAATTTAAGTTCAATACTTGCATCTTACAAGATTCATGCCATATCTGATCCAAAGCGCTCCACCAACATAAACAACACTTCCCGTTATAAATAGTATAATCAGACCCCAAATTACAAGCATATTTGATACCCAATTCGAATGACGCTTAGTGAATAGTCCCAAGAAGATCGCAGTATCAGCTCCAAATGAGATAATTATGAAAAGAAAAAAATAAATGTAACGCAATTTAGCGATAAAGCAATCAAAATAGTTCAAATAACGGATCACATCTGTATTCATGCCTTTAATATAAGAGTCATCGATAAATTGTTTACTCTTGACTCTTTGCAACAATTCAATTAAACTTTTCAATTGGCATAAGCACAGTGGAACAAAGATAGTTATGTGAGCTCCTAGAGTCAACAAACCACCAAATATGAATATAAAAGCACAAGATTCTAAAATTATCCAACAAAAAGATGAAATATACATTGCTGGGCCGCTATTGACTATTGCTTGGTTTTGAAGACGCAAACTGATTAAAACAAAAGGCATACAAATAAATGTACAATAAATCCATCTGATCCATACCGTGATTAAAATATGGAAAGTAGAGCGGAACGATTTACACTGTTTGGTTGTCAACTGAAGCATATTCTTGTCAAATCCTGAAACCTTTATGTCTCGAAAAGGACAGAGTATTGTGTAAGCTCCATGCTCTTCAAGGTACAAAACGTATTCGCGTAAGATAAACAGTGTAATACCTCCGCCAATGATATAGTATATCATAATGTCACTGCTATTTTCATGGAAGAATGGATTGGCAAGCAATATACTCAAACTATTATTTTGTTTGTAAATCAGGATTAGACAAAACCTTATGAAATTAAGAATTGAAACAAAACGAATAAGATTATTTTTAAAATGGAAATTTGGTTGGACATATGATGTTTCATCTTGACCGTACCCTCGACGGGCTATTATCAGCCCTAATTCAATATTTTCCAGGACTTGGAGGGATTTAATAATCTCTTCATCACTTTCATTATCACTTAATAAACCAAAAGATTTTTTAATTAAATTTTTAACTGGGTAGGGAATCAAGCGACTTATGGATTCAAGAATGGCGTATACAAAGACTATGAAACGACCATTAGCAAACGATAACATTGAATCGATTTTTTATTAATCTTAATAACAGATGAAATTATTGTTGAACTGTTCAAAGACAATTTTAAATGAAACAAAGAGCCAAAGATCCTCCATTGAAATCAATTCACCATTTCATTGATGTATTTACTTATATGTCAATACATATCGACTTATTTGGTTATACTTTTAATGATTGTTCATCTGTAAGTGTTAAGTTTAATCTTTCGTGATTCTATTAATATTATTAATACATCTCAAGATGCTCTTTATATTTTGGCTCTTGTTAGCTATCTAATAAAGATTCGATCTGTTTCTTTTATGCAAATATTCAAAAAAGAGGATTGCTCATTTTATGATCATTCACATCCGTTAACTGTTCAAATTATCTCATTGAAGACAATTTAAATAATCAATGTATCGATGCACCACTCTTCAAAATGAGAAGGTCACTCATGGATGTACAGCTTTGGGACAATTTAAGTGTAGTTTATTTATGAATGACGAACTGAATTTATCATATTGATCAGTTTATCAGGGATTTCTAGCAATTTAACCCTTTATTCATAAAACTTGAAATTTTAATTGTGAAATTACTGTTTTTAACAATGAAATATCAACCAAGTAACATTTTAGCCTTCTCAATTTAAATATCACATAATATTATATAAGACTGAATGTATAAAGGAAACTCTGTTCATATTGCAGTTCTTATGGCTTCAGCTAAAGTATTCAAGTTCGGTAAAATTTTAACTCTTTTAACCAATTACTTGCAAATTTAAATTAAAAAAAATATACGACGGCGTACTTTTTCATAAGTGTGATACCATAAAATGCGGTAATTTAAAACAGTTTTCAGATACCGAATGAGTAACAAACGAATGCTGTGATGGTCCAAGCTTGAATGTTTCATAATGATTTGATATTTGAAGTTGATTTGACATATTTCTGCATTTTTCAGTATTTTAATCGAACTCTCATTTCCTATTTTCTGTTCCAATTGTACCATTTTTATTCCAGCTATTGGATCACTGGCCTCTTCGAAGTTGTCTCTGCTCTAGTTATTATATCAATTAACATTCCTTTGCTGATACCTGCATTGTTACCCGTTGGTCTGCTGTACTGGTTCCTTCAACGGGTTTATATTTCCTCATCTCGACAATTAAAACGACTTGAATCTGTATCCAGATCGCCAATCTATTCATATTTCAGTGAGACATTAAATGGACTCAGTACAATTCGAGCCTTCAGTGAAACAAACCAATTTATGTCTAAAATGTGCCAAAAAATTGACATGAATCAATCCTGTGCTTATCCTAGTATTGTTGCTAATCGATGGTTAAATGTAAGGTTAGAGTTAATGGGATGCTTCATTGTTTTACTGTCATCTACTTTTGCTGTCATTTCACGAACTTCTCTCGACCCAAGTGTTGTTGGATTGATCTTGTCATATGCATTAACCATTTCAAAGACACTAAGTTTTTTAGTACGAAACTCTTCATATCTCGAAACCAGTATTATTGCTGTTGAGCGAATAATCGAGTATTGTCAAATACCAAGTGAAGCTGATTGGTATAAGGCCAAGATTTCCCCCAGAAATAGTTGGCCAGAAAAAGGTTCGATTGAATTTCATGATTTTGAAACCCGTTATCGCGTTGACACTGAATTGATAATCAAAGGCATTACAGCCAAGATCGAGCCCAAAGAAAAGATTGGAATTGTTGGCAGAACTGGAGCTGGAAAATCGACCATCACTTTATCACTATTCCGACTTATTGAGCCTTCAAAAGGAACCATTTCTATTGATGGTTACAATATTTGTGATTTACCTTTGCACACACTTCGATCTCGATTAGCAATTATACCTCAAGATCCAGTGCTTTTTAGTGGCTCACTGAGATTCAACCTCGATCCTTTCCAAAATTATTCAGATGAACAAATATGGGATTCGCTTTCGCAGGTTACTCTCAAAGACTTTGTTCTCAATACAAGTGAAGGTCTTGAATATAATGTTACAGAAGAAGGGTCGAACTTGAGTGTCGGACAGAAGCAACTTCTATGCTTAGCAAGAGCGCTGCTCAAAAAGCCCAAAATTATTTGTAAGTATTTATCAAATATAACTTAGCATAACATCTCGATCGACTAACTGAAACTGTCCTGAACTTATCTTGCAATGAAGGACTAAATAAAATCGAAAAATAAAAGATCTAGACTAAAGTTGAATTAGTTTTTACCAGCTTAAAGTTTTGAGTTATTATTGAATAGTTATTAGCTTTACTGAAGTCAAATCATTATTTTTTGAAAAGGTGTGATCTTTTTATTAAGCACTGAAAAAGGACAATTTCAGGTAGTCGAAGCTGTTTGATGAATTTATTTATTTAATCCAATTTTAAATATTTTGTTCTAATATTAGTCCTGGACGAGGCCACGTCTGCTATTGATTTGGATACTGATGCTTTTATCCAAAAGACTATTCGTGATAAATTCAATCAATGTACAATTTTAACTATCGCTCATCGTTTACAAACAATTCTCGATTCAGACAGAGTTCTTGTATTGGATGATGGAAAAATCGCTGAATTTGATAAGCCAGATGTTTTGTTATCAAGAAAGGATTCATTGTTTTACTCTTTAGCAAAACAAGATAATTTAATTCCTTAACTTTTCAATGTAATATTTTTCAATTTTGTACATTTCATAAGTTTAGTTCGGTAAGACTGCGGTACCGCCATCCTACCGCAACATCATGTTGACATAAAACAAACAGGTAATACGTAGTGGACATCGCAGTATTTGGATTTATTACCACATCAAGATCATTTAAATCAACAACTTAAACTAAAAATAGAGAATGATTAGTAGATTTTCTCGCAAAATTAATATTAATATCAATTATTGAACTCATGAATTGATGAACAGAAAATTAAATTAGGTTGATTGTATTGAAGCCATTAAGATCATCGTTTTCAGCATAAATAACATTGCTATAGAATATGCACCAAACCCCAGCCAAGATAATTTCATGACTATTTAATTCATTTAATAATCATTCAAGAAACCTCATCTATAAAAATCGAATAAATATATTGCTGGTTGAGTATAGTGTTTCCGAAATAGGGTTCGGTTCTTTTTCATAGCAAATTTTCTGTGTCGATCAATTGCAGTGATCGATCAATTTTCTCGTTTGTTGTCAAAGTTGAGCCCGTATGTATTTAAGATATCAATCTTGGTTGTGTAACTCTGTAATTTTCCTGCTCATTGTAATTAATCCATTTCAAATGCATCATAAATTTTGATGATGAGTCGTTATACAGTTATGCAAGAATGACTATAAATAATGTATAAACATAAATATATTTACAGTGCAAGTTTCTATTAGTCTATCAGAGTTTAAATCATGATTTTCATTTTTGGTTGCTTTTTTTCTTTCTCTTTGTGATATATTTGTGGTTTTTGTTTTATATTGTTGAGGAGTAATAAAAGTAAAAACAAAAACAAGATTATGGGCAAGCAAGTTTTATTATCAGCTCTAGGAATACACACTGACTCCTCTCTTAAGAGGATTAGGGTTTTAAAGTGGACTAGAGCAAAAGAGTAAACAACGAGTGCTCGTTGGGTACCCTTCGCTCTGATTTTTCATACAGTGATCACTCAGAAAGTGTAAGTTTACCAAAACTATCAGCAAAAATGGTCAACAATACCAAGCTCAAATTCACCTTCATCTTCGTTTACATCAACATCAACCCAGACTGCAACAAAATTTGTATCTTAACCTCATTATCGACATCAATAAGTCATTTAATCAATTATCAACAGTGCGAGGTGAAATAATCAGATCAAGGTGATCAATGTTGCCGAGATTCATCAAGTTCATCATCACTATTAAAACATTGGAAGTTCATTGACTATGTAACAATGTTATAAATGTTTTCTATCACAAAAAATCCTACAGCATCAAGTAGCTGAAATATTCGTTGAGGTTTGTTTGTTGAGAGTCAGTTTTGAGCAAAGCAGTGACCAAACCGCAACCAGATTGCGTTACATGTTGATCCAACTGTGATTCTGCACCTCAAGTTGTTCTCAAGCTTGAGAACAACTTGAGATTATAAGTCAAGCTAAACGTCCAATTACGTTTTAAGCTATTTTTTCAGTTCATTGCAAGTATTTATTTAGAAACAAACATTCATTTCTGGTAAGTGAGGTTGACTGATTGATAAGTTTGCTTCCAAATGCAAGCTCATTTAAATAAAGGCATAAATTCCTCTTTTATTTAACAAATCAATGGATGTGGTGACTTCCAATTAAGGACTAACCACAATGGTTGTACATAGATCCTGAACCTCAGACTGTTCTCGTGTCATGCTATAATTTAGCAGCTATTAGATAGACGCAGAAGGTATATAAGGGTTCAGGTTAGCTTGAGGTTCAAAGGCAGTCTGGTTTAAAATTTATTTTATTTAAGCAAAAAACTTTCATGATATTTGATAAATGATAAATTATTAAAAGTGCACTGAATAGTAAGTAGATAGATAGATAAAAAGCCCGGATGCATAAAAATAAAAAGCACAGATAAAAAAATAAAAAGCCAGGATGAATAAAAATGGATTTTAGCTTCTTCCATGACTGAATGTAAACAGTGATTCAGGTTTTTTTATTCTTTACGTGCAGGACGTTCAATAAAACATTCCTCAGCAAAATGTTCAATAAAGTAATACCAATCTGATATTCCTTTTCGGCACCCTTCGCAAACAATTAAAAAAATTTTTTCCAACACATGGCCAACAAGGTTTTTAGGATTGTCAGTCGTGAAGGAATTCTTACACGAACAGCCATCGTAAGAGCAAGTTTTTATTATTTTTCATTATATTCGAACGAATAGTTGTCAATGTATATATTGAGGTGTAGTTCGATCCTCGTTTTTCGAGGATTCGGAATTTGATGGATTTTCGTTGGTCTGTGCATACATTTTGCAATTTGTTGTATAAATAAATGCCATAACAAGTTCCGGTGCTGCAAAGAAAACATAATATTAATATATTGAAATATTCCACAATCATACATATTATAGTACTTATACTTACTCGTCGAGACGATAAATTTTGCGGCAGGAGCCATAAAATCACTGAAGAGGACGAAGAAGTTGTAGTCAAAATTATTTTCGATTTGTTTTCTAAATTCTCCAAATGTTTTCATTGTGATAAGCTTTTTATTTCGAAAGTGGTCAAAAGCCAGATTTGTAAAGTCGATAAACTTTTCATAAATTTTCTCAACTATCTCAACTCTTCTATCAATTCGTCCGATGACAAGGTGTATCCTTCAGAAGTAACGCTTTGGAATTCGTCACAGATTTTTACCTTCCCTGTTGCCTCTTTTTCATTGTGAGTTTCACAATTTATTAAGCGCGTGATATTCTGACTGAAACAAAAAAAATAATTTAATTCACAGATTATTTAGCAATAGTTTAATACTTACATATAAACATAATTGGTGTTTTTTTTCAAAACTGAATATCCTTTTTTTAAATCTTTATTTTTAAAATCATTAAGGAACGTCAAGCCAAAATCTTAGAGAAGCTTATGTTATTTTTCTCTGGAAATTTTTCAGGTTTTTGAAGCCATTCTGGCAATGAATCATCGTTTGTTTCATCCAGGTCATCGTTTGTTCCATCCAGGTCATCGTTTGTTCCACTCATGTCATCATTTGTTCCATCCACGTCATTATGTGCCTCAGAACTCTCAAGATCCGAAGAAAGAGGTGAATCATTTCTGCCTTAAGCCAAAATTGGACTGATTGAAGCACGAAAAACTTGAGCTCTGTCTTGATACGCAGTGGAATTTGCTATTTTTTGTGTTCCACTTGTGCTGGCCAAAGTTTCATCAATTTGATTTGTGAGTATTTCAGTGGCAGATTCACCAAAAACACTTTCTTGATCATGAAGGAATGCAGCAGCAACATTAGTTAAAAAAGTTGAAGCATTCATCGGCGATGAATCAAGATTGACTTCAATATTTTTTGGCAATGGTGCAATGGAAATTTCTCATTAAATTCTTTTACGTCTGGAAGCTGCGTAATATTGTCGCCAGAATAGCATAAATGCATCAAATGTTTAGGTAAAGATTTTTTCATTTTCTTTTTATTGGTTCCTCGAATGAATTGCAAGATATTTGTGTTATTTCCGTTCATGACATTCAACCTCAAGTTGTTTGCAAGCTTGAGAACAACTTGAGGCAGAGAATTAAGACTAATGTTGCATGTTGCAAATAGACTACAGAATGAAGTAAAACTACTTAACAATATCAAGTAGGTAATGCGGCCAGTATTCGCGATTCTCTCTTGTCACCGTATCTGATTTTTCCGGCCAATCAAATCCTCGCACCTTGATTCTGGCCAATTTTTGAAGCACAAGTACATCACAAAGGAAAATATCGTCCAGTGATTTGAAATGATATTTCTTTCCTCGATACTCAGGTCCTTTGTCAGTAGATAGAAACAGAACAAAAAAGTCTGATCTGCTAAGTTCGGTTTTTTTCGGACCCATGATTAATTAAAAAGATGAGATTGAGACAAAACAATTTTAATAAATGGTTAATAAAAACAAATTATTAAGGATTTTATTTGGATTCTCAAAGCAATAAGAAAAATGAAAAAATAATAAAGTGTCAACAAAAATCACAACAATGCTTTTCGATATATCGTATCCTCATATCGTTCTCAAGCATGAGTCAAGCTTGAGTCAGAGTTGTAATGTTTCATTTATTGTGATTTTTTGATTGTTGTGTTTGATTTTTGTTTTTTGTATTTTTGTAACTTGTAAGTTTATCTCAACATTTATTATTTTACACGAGTTTTGCATGTGAAAAGTTAAAATGACTATAATTGTAATAAATGAATACTCAACAACCAAGGAAACAATAATACATTGGACTTCTGGTTCAGAATGGTATTCTGATCAAATAATCAACCCTTATTTCCGACAAAAAAGAAAAGAAAAAAATATGAAAATGGTTCGCGAGATCGTGACAACCATTGAATGGCCATCGCCGATTAGTGACCATGATTTGATGTTATTTCCTACTCATCGAAATTTACACTGGATGCTCATTGTTTTGGACAATACCTGAACACAGACTATAAAAGATGGCGAAAATATCAAAGAATCAAACATTAGACACTCAACATAAAAACTTATAAGTTCGTAATCAATACCCACAGAAGTAACAACAGTAACAATTTGATTCACATCAACGATGTATGTTTAATGTAAAAGCTCTGTTTGGTTTCAAAGGAAACAGTAACTGCAAAATCACGCTCATCTTCTTCATCTTCATCTTAATCTTCACATTTAGCTTTCTTGACGATTCGTATTATCCAAAGAACAATATTCCAAAAATTTGTTGAAAAATGTTGGTGAAATCTGTTGGCGCGATGGTAATGATTGGAAATTATCTTAGTTGTGTGTCTTGTTTGGTATATCCAATTGGCAATATGATAAAAAAACTTGTAAGAAAAATGCGTTGGTGTTATGATAGTTAAAAAATTATATTTAGTTTCACAACTTAGTTGAAAAGATCGAATGGCAATATTTGTAAAAAACTTGTCACAAAACGTTGAAGAGAAACAAGTATAGCGGAGGGTTAAACTGTAATATAACGGAAGAGGAACAAATTTTTCTTCTTTTTTATACTTTTTCTCTTACCCTTTCCTTTGTAACCATCCCAATCTTAAATTAATACGATCTCTGGATAAAATTAGCTTGAGTGTGCTTAACTCTCTTCTTCATTTCTGATTTAATTTACAATTTCATAGTCGAAATTATCATAGAAAAATCGAAATTTTAAAAACCGTTCGAAACAAATTGTACTGATGTCAAAAGGCCATTGAAAAATATGGGGACGAAATTTGCACGGACGGCGCTGTTATAAGCGAAAAAAGTCTTGCGTGACTTTTGAATAACCCAGTATTCATGTTTAACAATATTTTTGGAATTATATTGTTATTTTTAATTCTTTGATCACTTGACCTCAATTCAGTTGACAATTCATCATGACTTTTACCGATCAAAGATCAATAAAAATGTGTTAGATTGTGTATCTGTATTACTACTATCATTTACACCCGTTACCTGTTCAAATAATCTAATTGAAGACAGTTTAAAAAATCAATGTATCGATGCGCCACACTTCAAAATGAGAATGTCACTCTTGAACTTTGGGACAATTTAAGTGAAGTTTATTCATGAATGATGAACTTATCATATTGATTCATTCGTCAGGGATTTCTGGCAATTTAACCCTAAATTATGACTGAAACCTGAAATTATTTCCCCCAATCCAAAGAAAAGATTGGAATTGTTGGCAGAACTGGAGCTAGAAAATCACTTTATCATTATTCCGACTTATTGAGCCTTCAAAAGGAACTATTTCTATTGATTACAATATTTGTGATTTACCTAAGGACTTTACAAATGTAGCATGATTTAGCCAATCATTATTAAGGTTATAAGGTGTTATTGGAAAAACAACCTCAAATAATACACAATCTCAGATGATTCCAGTGCGCTTTGACACAGGTCACTGTCTCAATCACCATACAAAACCATACACCATTTGAACACCTTACTGCCAGGTTGCATTTTCTCTCGTGTTCATTAATGTTGTCCTTATCATCGGTTCTAAGGCCACACCATCGACATGTCTACTTCCATTCCTTGAAGGTATAATCAATCGATAGAAATAAATCGTGAAAAATTTCTATTTTTGCTGCGAAATATTATTTATTATGTTTTTCGTTTATTTGAAGTGTTAAGTACACTAGTTTATGATATGTTATTGCGACGAAATGAACTGCAAATTACAAATTAGCAACATAATCGTGCTTGCATTTTCAAGAACGTACTGCAGATGAAAATAAAGATTCGTGATTAAGGACAATTTAAATAAATGCTCTCAGGTATTAAGTACAATTACTCACATAAACCGCAAGAAGTTTTTCCCCTCTAAATGCATCACCAACTTTAGCTCCTGAATAAGGACTAAGAATGCGATCAAGAATTTCCACTATTGACTATCGCTTTGTTTTGAATGCGCAAACTGATTAGCACAAAAGGACAACAAATAAACAAACCATAAATCATTCGGATCCACATCGTAATTAAAAGATGAAAAGTAGAGCGGAACAATTTACACTGTTTGGTTGTCAACCTGAGCATAATTTTGTCGAAACCTGAAACCTTTATGTCTGGAAGAATAGATATTAACGCGTAAGCTTCAGTCTCTTCAAGGTACAAAATATATTCTCGCAATACAAACAGTGTGATGCCTCCGCCAATGACATAGTATATCATAATGTCATTGGTATTTTCATGAAAGAATGGATTGCCCAGAAAAATACTCAGATTATCATTTTGCGTGTAAATCAGTATTAGATAAAACCTTATAAAATTAAGGATCGAAACAAAACGAATAAGATTATTGTTGAAATTGAAATTCGGTTGGACAAATGATGTTTCATCTTGACGGTGCCCTCGACGGGTTATTATAAGTCTAAATGCAATATTTTCAAGAACTTGGATTGATTTAACAGTCTCTTCATCGCTGTCATCATCACTTAATAAACCAAAAGATCTCTTAATTAACACCTTAACTTGAAAGGGACTTCGACTTACGGATTCGAGAATGGTGCGAATAAAAAATATGAAGCGAGAATTCACAAACGCCAACATTGAATTGATTGATCATTAAACTAAATAACCATATCTGTTATCTGCTACAAGTGAATTTTAAATGAAACAAAGATACAAAGATTTTCCATTGAAATGAATTCACCATTTTATTGACGTCTTAATTTATATGTCAATACATATCGACTTATTGGTCATACTTAAATGTATTTTTAATGAATGTTCATCTGTAAAGATCGAAGCGTCAAGTTCTAATGAATTTCTATATTTCTATCTTTCGTGATTTAATATCTCCCAAGATGCTTTTCTTTGGTTTGGTTTTGCAATAGCTTTTAATGATTGATGATTGATTTATGACAACTTCATTTATGCAAAGATTGTTGATCATTTTTACCCTTTATCTTGTTCAAGCTCGATATTCAACTGTTCAAATTATCTCAGTGAATAAAATGTGAATAATCAATGTTGAATCTCCATGAATAATAGTAAATTGTTTGGAAAAGAAACAATTAAGGGTCAAAAAATATGCATTGTTGCTAAGAGTACCGATTCAGTTATGATGGCGTTAAATCACAGCAAATATAGAATAACTGTGTCACAAATACTGAAATAGAAAAATAAATTGCGATCAATAAGTTATGATCTAATTGCGAAGTTCAAATTGTACCAGTTTTTATTCGCGCTATTAGATCACTGGCTTATTCGAAGTTATTTCTGCTCTAGTTGTGCTGAATGCTGTGATAGTCCAAGCTTGGATGTTTCATAATGATTTGATATTGGAAGCTGATTTGAGATATTTCACCATTCTATAGCATTCTATCGAACTCTCATTTCCCATTTTCCAGCGCTTCTCAAATTGGCCATCTCTGCTCTAGTTATTACTCCTTTGCTGATACCTGCATTAATATCCGTTACTCTGCTGTACTGGTTCCTTCATCTCGATAATTCAAACGACTTGAATCTGTGTCTAGATCGCCAATCTATTCATATTTCAATGAGACATTGAATGGAATTTGTAGTTAAATTAGTTAAATCGTCTAAAACTCCTGTTGCCATTTCGGCGAAGATTCGGGAATAGTTTTTTAAATCTGTCTTGATATTTGTATCGACTAAGTAAGATGACAAACGACTATAAACCATTGGGGCAACCAAAGCCAGATGAATGGGTTGATCAGAATGTTTCCAAAGGGTTTTAGCAAGCTTATGGCGACAACTGAATATTGCCCAAAGGGCTAATACGGCATGAGTTTTCAGCGGCAACAGTCACAATTAACGATTCAGGATGAAAAGGATAATCTAAGGTAGATATCTCGTTGCGTTATTGTTATTTTGATTTTAGATTATCCATGTTCTGCCAGAGTATATCTATTTATCTGTTATTGTTTTGAATGTTCTTCGTTCATTCGCAGTCGTAAATATATAGTACATGAAATGTTATTGCGACGAAATGAACTGCAAATTACAAATTAACAACATAATCGTACTTGCGTTTTCAAGAACGTACTGTATATGAAAATAAAGATTCGTGATTAAAGACAATTTGAATAAATGCTCTCAGGTATTAAGTATAACTACTCACATAGACAGCAAGAAGTTTTTCAGCAGTAAACAAATCACCAATTTTAGCTCCACAATAAGGACCAAGAATGCGATCGAGAATTTCCAGAGCCTAAAATAAATTAAAAGATAGATGAGCTTAAACTAAGCTTAAATACTTTGATGAAGGGACATTCTTAGCTACCTTCAGTTTTTGATCAAGTTTTACGCTGGCTTTGGCTATGATTGATACATACAGACCATGAACCACAAAAGGCTGAGGAATAAGAATAAATACAAAAGAAATCTCAAGTTCAATAATTGAATCTGACTGGATTCATTGCATACCTGATCCAAAAAAGCTCCTGCGACATAAACAACGCTTCCATTTATTAATATTAATAGTACGACCAGACCACGGATAGCAAGCATATTTGATACCCAATTTGAATGGCTCTTACAATGTTAGTGCTTAGTCTCAAAAAGATCGCATTATCAGCTCCAAATGAGACAAGTACGAAAAGAAAAAAAAAGGTAACGTATTGTAACGATATTTTTATCAAAATCATTCATATAACTGATCACATCTGAATTCATGCCTTTAATAAAAGAGTTATCGATGAACTGTTTACTCTTGACTCTTTTTAACAATTCAATCAAGTTTTTCAATCGGAATAAGGACAGAGGCACTGAGACGCTTATGTGTGCTCCTAGGTCCATAAAACCACCAAATATGGTTATGAAAGTACAAGATTCTAAAATTATCCAACAAAAAGATGAAATATACATTGCTGGGCCGCTATCGACTATTGCTTGGTTTTGAAGACGCAAAATGATTATGAGTATTATTTTGTATGTTTTTCGTTAATTCACAGTCGTAAATGAGTATCTTACTTACTTATCTTACACTAGTATGAGTTAGATGTATGAGTTAGTATGAGATAGTAATGAGTTATTGCGACGAAATGAACTGCAAATTACAAATTAACAGCATAATCGTGCTTGCATTTTCAAGAACGTACTGTATATGAAAATAAAGATGCGTGATTAAAAACAATTTGAATTACTTAGTTAGGTTACTTATTAATAGTCACTCACATAGACAGCAAGAAGTTTTTCACCTCTAAATGCATCACCAACTTTAGCTCCGGAATAAGGACTAAGAATGCGATCAAGAATTTCCAGAGTCTAGAATAAATTCAGTTGTAGTTACAGACAAAATGAAAGAAGGTTAATCTATTAATATTTTGATGAAGGGATATTTGTAGTTACCTTCAGTTTTTGATCAAGTTTTACTTCGGCTTTGGCTATGATTGATACATATAGACCATGAATCACATAAAGCTGAGGAATAAGAATAGAAAGAGAACAGAAAGACAAAACAAGTTCAATTCTTAAATCTATCGTGTAGTTTAGTATGTCTGAGCTTCTAAAAGTAGTAAAAGTAGTTACTGCAGTAGTTTATAAACGAGATAGTTTGCATACATGATCCAAAAAGGCTCCGCCGACATAAACAACACTTCCACATATAAATAGTTCAAGCAGACCACAGATTACAAGGGAATTTGATATCCACTTTGAATGGCCCTTAGAAAATAGTCCCAAAAAGATCGCAGTATCAGCTCCAAATGAGATGATCACGAAAATAAAAAAGAAAAGGTAACGATTTTTAGCGATAATTTCATCAAACTCATTCATATAACTGATCACATCTGTATTCATGCCTTTAATAAAAGAGCTATCGATAAACTGTTTACTCTTGACTCTTTTTAACATTTCAATCAAGCTTTTCAATCGGAATAAGTACAGAGGAACCGAGACAGTTATGTGAGCTCCTAGATCCATCAAACCAACAAATATAAAAATAAAAGTACAAGATTCTAAAACTATCCAACAAAAATGTGAAATATACATCGCTGGACCGCCATTAACTATTTCTTGGTTTTGAATCCGAAAATTGAGTAACACAATAGGGGTACAAATACATACGCCATAAATCCATCTGATCCATATTGTGATTAGCAGATGGAAAGTAGAGCGGAACAATTTACACTGTTTGGTTGTCAACTTGAGCATATTCTTGTCAAAACCTGAAACCTTTATGTCTCGAAGATTACAGAGTAACGCTTGAGCTCCAGTCTCTTCAAGGTACAAAACATATTCTCGCAAGATGCACAGCGTGATGCCTATGCCAATGACAAAGTACACCATAATGTCACTGATATTTTCATGGAAGAATGGATTTCCCAGCAATATATTCAAATTATCATTTTGTTTGTAAATCAGGATTAGATAAAATCTCAAGAAATTAAGGATCGAAACAAAACGAATAAGATTATTGTTAAAATGGTAATGTGGTTGGACATATGATGTTTCATCTTGACGGTGCCCTCGATGGCTCATTATCAGTCCTAATGCAATATTTTCCAGAACTTGGATTGATTTAACAGTCTCTTCATCACTGTCATCATCGCTCAATAAACCGAATGATTTCTTGCTAAATGCGATATTCTGGAAGGGAATGAATCGACTTATGGATTCCAAAATGGCGCATATAAAAATTATGAAGCGACAATTAGCAAACGGCAACATTTAATTAATTTATCATTAAACTAAATAATCATATCTGTTATTAACTAGTCTACAAGTCAATTGCAAATCAAACAAAGATAAAAAGATCTTCCATTGAAATGAATCCACCATTTTATTGATGTCTTTATTTATATGTGAACACATATCGACTTATTGGTTATACTTTTAATGATTTTTCATCTTTAAGTGTTAAGTTCAATCAATGGTCTTAATTTGATCTTTCGTAATTGTATGAACGCATGGCGAGATGCTGTTGGATTTTTTATCTGTTTCTTAATAGCATTCGAATGACTGATTTAATCAGCTTCATTTATGCAAACAAAAAAGAGTCTTGCTGATTTGTTTTATCATTTTCCCCTGTTAACTATCTAAATCATCTCAGTGAAGACAGTGAAGACAATTTAAATAATCAATGTTGAATCTTCATAAATAATAGTAAATTGTTTTCAGAAAGAAACAATCAAGGTTTTTAAAAGGTTTTTAAATTGGATCAAAAAGGATCAAGGCAAAAATCAATTGTCAGTTGTAAAGGAGGGGTGCAAAAAATCTGACTTTCGAGTTAAGAGTTAGGACTTTGTACGTTTGTAGGGCATAAAAACTGAGTCCATTAGTGGCATTAAAAATTTTCTCAGATCGACAGTTGTCAAAGTGAGAACTTCGATCGCCTTTCGTTCAATTATGGAATCAGATTTTTCATCAGACTTATTTTCCTGGCATAACTTTTGATAGCCAACCAGAAAATGCACTTATTTTGGGAAATAAAATTCTCTGTTTCTGTGCAACAGATCACTTCGATTTTCCGTTAAACCTCCAGCATTCTGTGACCATGATAGCTAGAGATCTGAAACTTATTATTTGTCGATAAAAGTTGTTGCTACTTATCATGGATCTAACGCTTTTTTCAATTGATCGACAGTTTCCTTGATTTTGGTCATTGGCCTAAAAACTTTGAACCTCGATATCTCGGGAATGGTAGTACCCACAATCACCATTCTTTGACTTATCATAAGGTTTCAACATGGACTACAATATAACAAAATATGCAATTCTGTAAAAAAAATTTATAACATTATATTACTTATTTTGTCAGATTTAATACTTTGTTATTTGTTATTCAAACACGAATCTTATTATGCGTTAAAAGGATATTCATTATTACTTGGGTATGGCAAAAGTAACTAGGAGGTGTTTTTTTTGAATAACTTTTGAACCGCTTGGAATTTTTGAATGAATGTTTTTTTAATTGAAAGGTATGAAGGACGGTTAATTATTTTATTAATTGTTCGAAGTGTGAACCTTCGGTAACCACTAGATGGCGCAAACGGGTTTCGAAGGCATTGCAAGATCGGGTGATGTAGGCAGGGGGAATCTCTTCAAATGCTTCCATTATTGCATTTTTAAGTTCTTCTTCTGTTTGAGGATTTTAGCTTCCATGTTTAGTAATGATTTGATATTTGAAGGTGATTTGAGATTTTTCAGCATTCTTCAGTACTAGCATTAAGAAATGAAAACGAAAAATTTTGATCGAACTCTCATTTCCTATCTTCCGACGATGCTCGAATTGGCTATTTTTATTTTAGATATTGGATTACTGGCCTTTTCGAAGTTGTTTCTGCTCTAGTTATTATATCGTTAAACATTCCTTTTCTGATACCTGCAGCAATATCCGTTGGTCTGCTGTACTGGTTCCTTCAACGGGTTTAAATTTCTTTATCTCGACAATTGAAACGACTTGAATCTGTGTCTAGATCGCCAATCTATTCGTCGTTAATCTAAAAGTCGTTTATTTCAATACTTCACATTATCGATTTCCATCAGAGTATATTTATAATCAATTGATAAAACAATTTTTACTTTTATTGCTGAATATTGTTTTGTCTGTTTTTCGTTTATTCGCAGTCGTAAGTACAATAGTATATGATCAATTATTACGACGAAATAAACTGCAAATTACAAATTAACAACATAATCGTGCTTGCATTTTCAAGAACGTACTGCATATGAAAATAAAGATTAGTGGTTAAAGAAAATTTTAATAAATGCTCTAAAATATTAAGTATATAAATAATTACTTACATAGACAGCAAGAAGTTTTTCACCTCTAAATGCATCACCAACTTTAGCTCCACAATATGGACTAAGAATGCGATCAAGAATTTCCAGAGTCTAAAATGAATAGCAGGGAAAATGAAAGAACGTTCGAACTACTTTCATGGAGCGACATTTGTAATAGATACCTTCAGTTTTTGCTCAAGTTTTACGCTGGCTTTGGCTATGATTGATACATACAGACCATGAATGACATAAAGCTGAGAAATAAGAATAGAAAGAGAACAGAAAGACAAAGGAAATCTGAAGTTCAATACTTGAATCTTACTGCATTGATTTCATACCTGATCCAAAGTAGCTGAGCCGACATAAACAATGCTTCCAACTATGAATAGTACAAGTAGACCACGGATAACAAGCATATTTGATACCCATTTTGAATGGCCCTTAGTGCTTAGTCCCAAAAAGATCGCAGTATCCGCTCCAAATGAGACAAGTATGAAAACAAAAAAGAAAAGGTAACGTATTGTAACGATATTTTTATCAAACTCATTCATATAACTGATCACATCTGTATTCATGCCTTTAATGATAGAGTCATCGATAAATTGTTTACTCCTGACTCTTTTTAACAATTCAATTAAGCTTTTCAATCGGCATAAGTACAGAGGAATCGAGACAGTTACGTGAGCTGCTAGATTCAGAAAACTTCCAAATATAAAGATGAAAGTACAAGATTCTAAAACAATCCAACAAAAATGTGAAATATACATCGCTGGACCGCTATTGACTATCGCTTGGTTTTGAATGCGCAAAATGATTAACGCAAAAGGAGTACAAATAAATACACAATAAATCCATCTGATCCATATCGTGATTAAAAGATGGAAAGTAGAGCGAAACCATTTACACTGTTTGGTCGTTAACTTGAGCATGTTGCTGTCAAAACCTGAAACCTTTATGTCTCGAAGAGTACAGAGTACTGGGTAAGCTCTAGTGTCTTCAACGTACAAAACATATTCTCGAAAGACGAACAGTGTAATACCTCCGCCAATGACATAGCATATCATAATGTCACTGCTATTTTCATGGAAGAAGGGATTTCCCAGCAATATACTCAAATTATCATTTTGGTTGTAAATCAGAATCAGATAAAACCTTATAAAATTAAGGATCGAAACAAAACGAATAAGATTATTTTTAAAATGAAAATGTGGTTGGACATATGATGTTTCATCTTGACGGTGCCCTCGACGGGTCATCATTAGTCCTAATGCAATATTTTCCAGAACTTGGATTGATTTAACAGTCTCTTCATCACTGTCATCATCACTTAATAAACCAAAAAATTTCTTAATTAGCACCTTAACCTGGAAGGGAATACGTCGACTTATTGACTCAAGAATATTGACTCGACATATAAAAAATATGAAGCGACAATTAGCAAACGGCAACATTTAATTGATTCATCATTAAACTAAATAATCATATCTGTTATTAACTACTCCACAAGTTAATTGCAAATGAAACAAATATACAAGGATCTTCCATTGAAATGAATTCACCATTTTATTGATGTCCTTATTTATATTTCAATACATATCGACGTATTGGCAACACTTTTAATGGTTGTTCGTCTTTAAGTGTTAAGTTCTAATCAATTTCTTTATTGCGATCTTTCGTGATTATAATAATATAATACATTATACATCCCAAGATGCTCTTTATTTGTTTTTTTCTCAATAGCTTTCAAGGGTGTATCCGGTCAATGAAAAAAATGTTGGTTAATCTTGGTTAATCTTGGTTAAAAGACTAAAGTTGTCAAGAAAAAGATAAGATAAGAAAATAAAGTGTCCGGTATTAATTTGGTTAATTTGATTATCATGCGCATTGAAAAATTAAAAAATTGAATCAAATCAGCTGACGATATTTCAATCTAATTAAAAAATTAATTTTTAAAATCAATAGATGGCATTAAAGCTAATCTGGGTTAATTTTGATCAGATGTTAGTTAATTTTTTTAACCGAGATTAACCAAGAATCTCGGTTAATCTTGGTTAAAATTTCATTGACCGGATACACCCCAAATGATTAAAACAGCTTCTACATGTATTATGCAAACATTCAAAAAAGGCTTGTTGATATGTCTGATCATTATCACCCTTTAACTTGTTTAAATTCGATATTCAACTGTTAAAATTATCTCAGGGAAGACAGTTTATTAATAAATAATCAGTGTTGTGCAATAAATAATAGTAATTTTTTTGCAAAAAAAATCAATTAAGGTCTAAAAAAACTAATTGTTTTGAAGAGCACCAATCCAGTTATGATAATGCTAAATTACATAAAATATAGAGCTACTGTACCACAAATAATACAGCAGGCCATAACACAATATCAAAAGTTAAGAGAACTTAAGGATTTTTTATGCAGTTTGCTGACATTTCATCAAAACCTGATGACAAATTTGAAAGGTTGTTTTTGAAACAAAAAATTCAAACACGATATTCTTGAAAAATATGATTCAAGTACGGATCAGAATGACCAATCGTTACCATCAACTTCGCAATCGCATTTCTGTTGACAAAAAACAAAATTACCAAAAAAATCTAACAAGGATACTAAAATAACACATATCGAATCCCCAAACATTGCTTGCTTACTTTTAATTCAAAATGGACAGGGAAAGTTTCAATGATTTCATTACTTTACCTAGTGTTTCAGATTTCGACGATATGTCTAGCGCCTCAACTCGCCAAAATTCAGTTTGTCCAGACTGTGCTTCAAAAATTAAATGAACAAAGGAGAAAGTCGGAAATCGCACCCAACTAGAATCGATTATAAATACGTTCAAAAGAAAGATAACTAAAAATAAATCACTAAACTAGAATCCATTTTATTGTATTGCTTATATTCTAATTAAATGCTGCTTGAACAGTAAGAAAAAGATCAAGATATCAGAAACTTAAGTGCTAAGCTCAGCAGCAAGTACAAATACCATTGTGAAATATCTGATTATATTACTTATTATTATTATTATTATTACTGATTATATTATTTAATTTAAAACTTCATATCAAAAGTTGTTGAAACAAAAACGCGCTCGAATGATTGCTGATCCTGAATCAACATACTCTTTATCGAGATCCTAAAGACTGGATATTTTTCTTGTGCACATAGGCTTTACCGAATGCTTTTCTATGTTTAAAAGATTTACAACTCTTATTGGTATTCAATTCGTTTTTGGAACCGTCCAATAATTTTTCAATATGGCTGCCCTTGAAGGTAAGTTAAATTCTCAAAACGTGTAAATTTAAATGTAACATATCCGAATCTATCGTAAATTCCAGGTAATAATGATTTTGTGCACAAAATATCTTCATTAAGAACGTTATCTGTTCTAATATCGATGAACTGACACTGCACAAACTTGATCTTGAAACTTATAAAAAATGTGACATACCTGTCTTTTTGAAAACAAAACATGGATATGAGTATTGGAAAATTATCTATCTTGGAACTGAAGAAGGAGCTAGAAAAGCCATGGAAAATATACAATGTGAAACCAATCCAACTAGTAAATAATTTATCTCTAATTCCTTACCATGATCATGCCATACCCTTGCTTGTAATAGCTCTGCTTCTGGTATTACAGTCACATTTGATTCAAAAAATATTGGAGCTACATTTCAACATGTCCAAACTAACCAGGAGAAAATTCTATCCATAATGGATTTGATTCTTAAAAGGCAGAAGCTCATTCAATGAAAATCGACTCAATAACAAAGAATTTACGTATTATTGAAGCTCGCAACACAATTTCATCAATGCCCCTTGCTTCACCGCCGAAGTCTGCTTATAGTGAACACTCACAAATAGACTCAGAATCGTCACAAAAAAGTGTTATTTCAAATAAGAGTTATGTGTCAGAAGGATTGAAGTTCCAGCTCTATCTAGAACGAATGAATTCAAACATGTTCGTTTCCAATTCACCTTATGAAATAAGATTTATTGGAGTGCAAATACTTGAAGCGTGCCGAAAAAATGGAGACTTAAGTAGCCCATCTCATCTGTTCTTTCTCGATTTTGAGGCTTTCAAAGTTTAATGAGAGAACCTTTGCACACACTTCGATCTCGATTAGCAATTATACCTCAAGATCCAGTGCTTTTTAGTGGCTCACTGAGATTCAACCTCGATCCTTTCCAAAATTATTCAGATGAACAAATATGGGATTCGCTTTCGCAGGTTACTCTCAAAGACTTTGTCCTCAATACAAGTGAAGGTCTTGAATATAATGTTACAGAAGAAGGGTCGAACTTGAGTGTCGGACAGAAGCAACTTTTATGCTTAGCAAGAGCGTTGCTCAAAAAGCCCAAAATTATTTGTAAGTACTTATGAAATATAACTGACAAAGCTTAACATCTCGATCGTTTTTCACCTCTAAATGCATCACCAACTTTAGCTCCGGAATAAGGACTAAGAATGCGATCAAGAATTTCCAGAGTCTAGAATAAATTCAGTTGTAGTTACAGACAAAATGAAAGAAGGTTAATCTATTAATATTTGATGAAGGGATATTTGTAGTTACCTTCAGTTTTTGATCAAGTTTTACTTCGGCTTTGGCTATGATTGATACATATAGACCATGAATCACATAAAGCTGAGGAATAAGAATAGAAAGAGAACAGAAAGACAAAACAAGTTCAATTCTTAAATCTATCGTGTAGTTTAGTATGTCTGAGCTTCTAAAAGTAGTAAAAGTAGTTACTGCAGTAGTTTATAAACGAGATAGTTTGCATACATGATCCAAAAAGGCTCCGCCGACATAAACAACACTTCCACATATAAATAGTTCAAGCAGACCACAGATTACAAGGGAATTTGATATCCACTTTGAATGGCTCTTAGTGAACAGTCCCAAAAAGATCGCAGTATCAGCTCCAAATGAGACAAGTACGAAAATAAAAAAGAAAAGGTAACGATTTTTAGCGATAATTACATCAAACTCATTCATATAACTGATCACATCTGAATTCATGCCTTTAATAAAAGAGCCATCCATAAACTGTTTACTCTTGACTCTTTTCAACAATTCAATTAAGCTTTTCAATCGGAATAAGTACAGAGGAAGCGAAACGGATATATGAGCTCCTACATCCATCAAACCAACAAATATAAAAATAAAAGTACAAGATTCTAAAAATATCCAACAAAAATGTGAAATATACATCGCTGGACCGCCATTAACTATTTCTTGATTTTGAATCCGAAAATTGAGCAGCACAAAAGGGGTACAAATACATACACCATAAATCCATCTGATCCATATCGTGAGTAAAAGATGCAAAGTAGAGCGGAACAATTTACAATGTTTGGTTGCAGCTTGAGCATATTCTTGTCAAAACCTGAAACCTTTATGTCTCGAAGATTACAGCGTAACGCTTGAGCTCCAGTCTCTTCAAGGTACAAAACATATTCTCGCAATACAAACAATGTAATACCTCCGCCAATAACATAGCATATCATCATGTCACTGCTATTTTCATGGAAGAAGGGATTACCCAGAATTATATGCAAGCTATCATTTTGTTTGTTAATCAGTATTAGATAAAACCTTATAAAATTAATGATCGAAACAAAACGAATAAGATTATTGTTAAAATGGAAATTCGGTTGGACATATGATGTTTCATCTTGACGGTGCCCTCGACGGCTCATTATCAGTGCTAATCCAATATTTTCCAGGACTTGGAGAGATTTAAGAGTATCTTCATCACTGTCATCATCACTCAATAAACCAAAAGATTTCTTACTTAATGCCTTAACCTGGAAGGGAATACATCGACTTATGGATTCGAGAATGGTGCATATGAAGCGACAATTTAAAAACGCAAACATTGATTCAATTTATTACTAAACTTATTAACGGATGAGATTATTGTTTACCAAACTATAATATAAGTCAGTTTTGAATGACACAAAGATAAATGAATTCACCATTTTAGTGATGTATTTAATATTTATATGTGAACACATATCGACTTATTGATTATACTTCGATGGTTGTTCATTTGCAAGTGTTAAGTTCTAATCAATTTATTTATTTTGATCTTTCGTGATTATATTAATGAATCCCAGAATGCTCTTTATTTTTTGGTTTTGCTTCTTAATAGCTTTCGAATGATTGACTTAATCAGCTTTTTCTATAAATTATGGTCAATATTTATGGCTTTTGCTTCATCAAAGTATTTTTATTTAATCGTATGATAAATGAGATTTAATGTGAACAAAAAACGCCAAATGATTACAATGAATTTAAATGGTTTTGAAAAGGTTAAACATTGCGAGATTATTATGCTGATTCCATAATCTTTCAATGTAATATCCATCAGCACAATATAAATTGTGTTAGGATCTTTCAAGTTTACATTGGAAACTTGATGAATAGTAAACAGAAAATAAATTTGTACAAATTATCACAGATTTTGTTGTTTGTGTTTGAAGAGATTAAAGGCCAGCAAACTTGAATCAGTTAACAGAAACCAATCAAGAGAAGTTAATTACAAGAATAAAAATTGCTAATCAAGATAAATTGAATTATCTAGTAATTGAGAAGAGAAATGTTTACATTGTTTTGCGTTTTCATTTGAAGATGAGATAATCAAGGTTAAATTAAAGATTCATCGTTGTCACCGGTAATTTGTGAATTAATAACTTTTGGTACTTTTACATTTTATGCTTGGTGATGATTATTATGGAAATTTTAAAGGACGGTTCAAATCAAATGATTGTTGCTTGTAATTTGTTGGTTACTGATTGTAGAATGGTCGATTGACCAGAAGGTAATTTGAGAAAGACATCTTCAGTTATGATTCTCCAGTTTAATGAAGGCGTCATTTTTTTGTCCAGATCATCGTTTCCAGTAAAATGAACATGAATTAAAACCAATTCTTTCCATGCCATATCAGTGTTCAATGGATCATCCATGTAGGTTGCATCATTTTTGATAAACTTGACCAAAACTGTGTCCTCTGATTCAGCAGGTTTATTTGTATTGGATAGAGAGCAATTAGTAAAAAAGGCTTCAACATTTTCATCATTAGTCCATTGTTGATCATCAGGAACATTGAATAACGTTTGTAAGTCTCCATACCAATTATCACCAGGAACAAAACGCTAAAAGTAAATTGAAATGTCATTAATAAAGTATCAAAATTATGAAAATAAACAAATGAAAATATCTTACATTTGGCAGTGATATTTGATCCCAGCGAGGTAAATTTTTTTCAACAATAAATTCAAAGAGTTTACCAGTTGAAACGATTCTCGATGTACGCCATCGAGTAATCACAAACATTACATAGTGATTTGGACCCCAACGTGGTAAAGATCCTTTCCCTTTCAATCCAGTTCGACCAAATGGATTTCTCGGTATGCCAGAGTCTAGACTATAAACTAAATTGGTGCAGCCATCTTTGGTAATCCAAGAGGTTCTATCAATAGTTATACCAGCAGGATTTGTTGATGAACTGTTCCAATTGAAAACAGGCAATTTAGAAGTAACTTGTTCAATATTATACTCTCGCAGAAACAAAATATCTTCATCAACATTGTGCTGAAAGTTTTGAGGAAAGTCCATTTTTTGTTTAGTATATGCTACTGGATCGTAATCAATCCACATAACTTCCCAAGGAACATATTTATCTGGTACAGGAATCCTTTGAACTCGCGTTCCTGGGTATGGACTTTGTCTTGAGAGAATGTGATGGAATGATTTTGTTGTTGAAGGTGAAGATCCATAGGCATCCAGGTTACCAAATTTAAGAGATGAAATGTGTTTAATGTTTTCAAGGTATACATGGGAAAGTGTCATCATTCGTTCCAGTTCAGAGACTCGAGTATTTATCTTTTTCATCAGCCGTTTCTCATATTCAATCTCTTCAGCTAGAGATTGAACTCCTTCCCACTGTTTCTTGATAATATCCTTTTCTTCTTGGTTTTTCTCTGCTTTGTTTGCATATTGTCGAGCTAAATGTCTCCAGAAATTGTAGTCTTCTTCAGATAATTTCATATTATATTTAGTATCTGCTTCACCGAATGCTCCATCTGGTTGATTTTTTCCTTCGCGGTTTTTCATCCATTTGAAACAGTAATAACAAGACAAGGTTCTAAAAATCCATTTTAGTACAAAATAAATGTAACAAAAGATGCTTAATGGTGCAGGTAAAGGTAAACGATTGGCAAAGTCGACTACCAAAATATAACGTTGATATTTCCAAATTTGTTCAGTTCTACCTTCTAATTTAGAAGCTGTGGCTGAAAATAAGGCATATAACAGAGTCATCATAATCAATTTTAACAGGACAAAATATTGAATTGCAAAAATATATGACCATAAATCATCATCTGGACACAGTGTTGGATTAGCTGTGTTATTATCTAGAAAAGAAAACAGAAAATTAAATAAACATAGAAAAACACAATAATTCAATGATAATTGAAAAAAATCAATGTAATTTACATTTTCCTGCATAGCAGGTAGAAGGATCGTTTCGATGAGCTGGATATGCTTTGCACTTAGAATCAGCGGAGAGATCTCCGACCGGAGTTAAAAAGAGGGAAAACCAAGCTCGATGGAACGCTTGTTTGACAACATCCAGAGTAAGATCGAGATCAGGGAAAAGTAGAGCTTGCATAACAACTCCACCAGATACGATAATCACGATTGCCATCCGCATGAAATTGAGAAAATCAACTCCAATCTGAAATGTAAAAGAACAATAGAGTAAATGAAATGTTTTAAAATTAACTCAATTCTTGATAAACTCGAAACTTACCATTAACCGTAAACGGTACAAAAGAGGACCCAAAGTAGGTGAAATAGGCAAATACATGGCAATTAAACGGTAATAGAAGTATAAGAGAGCAACGCTCAAAACAACTTTACGACCATATGGTGAAAGAGTAAGAAATTTAAGATTAAGACCAGCAGTGTAAGTTGTATAAACAATGATAAAAATAATTATAAGAAATATCTCTATACATTTCCAAACCAAAGGTATGGAAGTATATTTTTTGTAGAGAATCCAAGTTCGTCTAATATGTTCCATGACAATCAGTGAAGTCCAAACACAGACCGTGTAATCAAGTGTTTGATTACCACAAGACGGATAAAGAACGGCAATTGAAAATAAGACTAAGTAAGCAATGTAGAATACTTGAAATGTGTGAAATTTTGTAATTGGAGCAGACCACATTAATTTGATCATAGTTAATAATGGAGGTTGTTGACGAATGAAAACTTCACGATCCCTTATCAAAGTAACGTAATCAGCGCCGCGAATGTTTATTACACCAGAAACAGCTTTACCAGCCGTTTTAGCTGCCATTTGTGCTAAATTTTCACCACCAGCTCCTGAGTTCATTAATCCACCGACTTCATCTCCTCCTTGATTATCTTGGCCATCTTTTTCATCGTCTTCTTGCTCCTCAACTACACCACGAGAAGATCTAGGTTTGAATCGAACCCAAATAAACATCGGTAAAATAAGGAAAGCACATACAATTATCTTAAATGATTCCGGTAAAGTAAATACACCCCAACCTAACTCTCTTATTCGTATATCACCGAGAAAAGTGTCTGTTAACCATTTTTGGCAACATTGATGAGCTAGGAAAATTTTGGTCCTAGCATTGGAGGCAATGTCAACAGCAGTTTTATAGTTCCAATCGGGACTTTCTTCAGATAACACATCAAATGCTCTACAGGTCGCATCATTGTAACAATCGTCTAAAACTCCTGTTGCCATTTCGGCAAAGATTCGGGAATAGTTTTTTAAATCTGTCTTGACATTTGTATCGCCTACGTAAGATGACAAACGACTGTAAACCATTGAGGCAACCAAAGCCAGATGAATGGGTTGATCAGAATGTTTCCAAAGGGTTTTAGCAAGTTTATGGCGAGAACTGAATATTGCCCAAAGAGTTAATATGGCGAGAGCTTTCCTTTCAGCTGAAGCAGCATTATAAACATACATGGACATAACATTGTAGTAGAGGTGATCAGAGTTGACAAAATTGTTGAAACCAGTACAAGTTTCAATTAACCAATTGAGATCAGTGTCAATAAAATGTTTAGAAGGACGTGAAAGTAAACTATGGCCTAAAACTCCTTCCCAACAAACGGTATGGAAAAACTCTTCTTCATAAATGTGTTTAAATAGTCGACGAAGACGAGTTGGTGTGACAAATTTATGTAATCGGAAACCATTAGATAGAAATAGATCAACAAATTCTTCTCGATCGGGACGGAGTAATGCAGATTGAAAAAGGTCCTTTTGTAAGCGTACAACATAGGTAGGATCTCGGTGTAAAACCTCTGAAGAGGCGACATCAGGACAGTTCCAATCCAGCGTTAAGTACAGTTCTTTCAATATTTTGTCATCTGAGACTGTTGAACCTTCATGAGTTGACCGGGAATAATCATGAACTCGATTACTGCTTCGAGGTTTAGAGGCAAAAAGAGCACGCAATAAATAAACAGATAAGTTTTCCAATTTACATTCAGAATAATTGTGCATATTAAGTACAGTAATAAATGATAGGCTATTTTGCTTGGCCAGACGAACACATTCCAATATTCGATCACGAAATAGGTTTCTGGTGAGTACATTTTCTCTAAGTTTAGGGAAAAAATGGGCGATCTTTGTAACCAATTCAGGTTTGAGAAAGTTTTCAACATATTCCGGATCCCATGTTCCCCAAGGTCCTGTTTCACGAGCCCTTTGTTCAAGCTCTGAATAGGCAAAGGCAAGAAGATCAGCTAAACCTCCTGAACCTTTTAAAACAACAACTGGATACTGTCTTTTCAAACAGTCAACAACCAAACGAGCACAATCGTAGCCTCCTTGAACAACAATGGATACAACTGGAATTTCCATGTTGGTTAATGAACATAAATCGGGTACATCTTTAATTTTTGTATGTAAATCTGTTTCAACATTTTCACGAATAAAATCACAACCGCCTACAGTTGAGAGGAAACCCATTAATCGAAGGACGAATAAATTGATTCCTGTTTTGTTAATTGTGCTATCTCGAACTACAATGAAATGAGTATGATCTGGATTAAGATCATATTTTCCTTCTTCTGGGATATTTCCTTGATTTTCAATGTTGATATCAGTCTATGGTCAAAAAATGAAAGATTGAAAAATACAAATGATTAGCAAAGTTGATATGTAGCCATGTTTGTTTAAATAATACCTTATCGGAACCTAATTGGTCAGCATATTTTATTGCATCTTCCCTTGTAATGCCAATAAAATTAAGATTTGGTGGCTTGGTGATACCTCTTCCTTCTGATTTACTATGAGATGGATGACAATGAAACGATTGACGCTCTTTAATTTCATTGCTAACAGCATCACCAATTATTTTAGAGGCTCCTAAATTAGTTCCAGTTGTAAATATCCACATATTTGTTGTATTGGCTGCCTGATTAGATAGAATCAAAATTCAAAGGTTAGTAAACCAAATTCGAACAAAAAGGTAGATACTGTTGAATGTAATCTAAATTAGGAATATGTGTGATTATCGTAAAACTGTAATCAAAAATAGATCAATGCTTCCTTTCATCAAGCTCTGATTGAGTCTGAGTTATTTTTGGAAATATAGTATGTAATGAATTTAACCATGAAAGTTAATGATGAAACTCTGATCAAATCCATCAAAGAAGGTGATTATAATGAGAGACAAATCCACTTTCTTAGCTAATTTTTAGCTGACTATATCAGTCAAATCAATCAGAGTCTCAAATTTGGAAGTAACAATGAACGATTATGCAAAAATAAGAAATCAAAAAGATGACAATCAAAGGAAATGTTTACGGAAATTTGGGCAAACATACTTTTATCAATCCTTTCTTGAAATTATCGATTTGCCGTGGATTGGACCAATCTCTTAAAGAGTCGACATTGGATATAATTAAAGCTACAATCCTTGGAGGTTGCATTCGCCATTGTCTGTGCATTATAGCCGCAATCGCCTCTCCATCAGTATCATGAGCTGCTTTGACAAAAGGATGACCCTGATGAATGATAAATAAAAGAGTTGATTAATAAAAGATGTTAAGGTTGGTTAAAAAGGTCATTTGGATCAATGAAAACCTTGAGGCTGTTCTTACTCAATTGATTAAACAATCAACGAATCCTGAAATGAAAAGTTAATCATGGTTGGTTGATCAGTTTAAATAATAATTTCTTGTTTACCAACAAACAAAGCAACATTTTGTTAGATCAATCAAAGAAGCATAATTAAGCGCCTTATCATTAACCAATTTTCAATGTATTTCATTATATTTATTGCTGATTCATAAACTTGCGTTATTGGTTATTTCATCATTTATGATCAATAAATCGAGTTGAATGTTTGCAAAAGAGTTGAGTTAATCAAGTTAGACTGAATGAGGAAGTTAAATAGTGGGATGGAGTTAGATTGAAACAAATTGATTAAAGGTAAACCAGAAAAGTGTGAATTGAAAACAAAATGAGAAACAGAAACACTTGTTTGCTATGAATAATTACGAGTCTATTGAATTGCGTTAAGCCAACAAATGGGAATAAATGTTAATTTCAATGGCATAAACGATTGTGAATTAAAAAAGTGTGATTTGTTGATTACAAACACTTTGATTCTCAATTGTCAGCAGGATATGTGTTACACTTGAAATCAGGTAAATTTGAAATCTATTGTTTCGTCGTAATAGATTCAAATCAACAGTGAGATTGTTTTTTTTCAGTCAACAGACATGATTAAACAAATCTCATTTTTGTTGATGTTTTGGGTTGTTGTTAAGGTGGAGCTGGATTCAAATTTACAAATTTAATATTAAATCGATTGATGATCATCACCATGCAAAAAATGGAATGAAAAGTATCAGGGAAAATCTGATTCCAAGGTTAACTTGTTGAAAACATGAAATTATGAAACAAGTTTAAACTATATTTTAATCACCAAGAGTAGGGTCATTAAATAATCAAAAATGCACTTGTCCAGTATAGAAACAAGACAATTACATCTTGGATTTCAATGTAATTACCTGTAAGGCCTTAATAAAAGTAGTTAAAGTGAAAGTAATACTATTCAATACAATCTTTGCTCTTTGCTTTCCCATTAGAATCAAGGTTTTTCAAAGGAAACAAAGAATCATCAAATTATGATAAATTAGTGGGTAAAAATCAGCAAGAGGATGCAAAGCCCAAATTGTTTGAAACAAATCAACACCTAAAAGGACATTGGGATTAATTTGATGAAATGAATGACAGCGTCAAAGATTGAGAAGAGACAGCGAAAATCAAAGGTTGACTGGTTAAAAATATCCAAATACATTGTTATAAAGGAACCAACCTCTGGCTCATAGCCAAAATTTTTCCAAAAATGTATCTTTCCATCAGCAATAATGTAATTTCGTGTAGTTGAGTTTGAATCAGATGGACCCAGGTTAAGATGGTAGCCTTGACCTCCGATGATAGCTCTTGAAGAGGATGCACTGATTTGACGTTGGTAACTGTTGGCCATCGGTTTATGGAGAGTTGACTCTTTCCTACTGAGTTTCCGTAATTCATTCAATGAATAGTTTTCACCACCGATACCACTACCAACCGTATCGGCATGAATTTCACTCTCAGGTCTTTTAGGTTTGGTAAATTTGCAGGCGATCCGGATTCGAGCAATTAACTCCTGGAAACCATATTTTGATTGTTTGTTGTCTGATTCTGAAACCATTGGAGAAATAAAAAAACGGAATTAGAAACGATTACTATTAAATTACAGTTGACTAGTTTTAGCTGTTGTTGTTGATTAATGTTATGAAAAGTTTAGGATTGAATTACAGTGGAAAATAGCTTTTATGACTCTTATTTACAGGTAAATCTTTCATTTGAAACAGACTAATTGTCATTTAAATGTTCTGTGGCAAAGATAAGGTAATTAAAGCTGAAACTAGGAAAGTTTGATTAGATAATCAAGTCTATCTATTGATAATGATTGAGCGACAAATCTGAACGGAATACACCAGAAATGCCTAAAAAGTTGAATCTTTGTCTACTCAAAATGACATCAAGTTGATGTCACAATGAAATAATTTGCTAATCTGGTCGGTGATTTACCCGCAAACTTAGTGAATTAGATCGCAACAAGTCAATTATACTACTGACTAAAAGTTGACTGATCAACGTTAAATAATTAAAACAAAATTGTATGAAAAAACACAAAACTAACCAGCATTTATTGGAGTTCAATAGCGAGGAGAGAAACAACTTGACACTAACGGGACTCATCTTGATTAGCATACGATCAGCCTTGACTGTTAAAGTTGTCCACGAAAAGTGATTGTTTAACTTGACTTTGAAGTGAACAGACTAAGGTTTAACTGAGAAACAATGACAAGATTGATGACAAGATTGGTGGAAGCAATTGAAAACAATTGAACCATGGACAAGGGATTGTTGAAATTGAAAAGGCTTAAACACTGGGTCAAGAATGAACATGTTAGATAATTTTGTCCTAGTTATGATGTTTTTAATGATATCTGCGGCGATGTCAATTGTAATAGTGATGATTAAAGGTTCTTGCATTAAACAGATGTAAAAGCAAAGTGACGAGTAAAAGATGCAATGTGACTTGAGACGATGAAGGTGAAAGAGTTTATAATGAAATACAGTAAAGGGAAAGATTATAAAACTATGAAATTGGCAACAGAAGAGGCAAAGAAGAGAGGGAGACAATCTTCATCATTGATGACAATTTATCGTCAAATCAATAATTACATGAATAAAGCAAATGTTATGAAAATAAACAGAGAGAAAAAGCTAGCCCACAGTTTGAGAGGCAAAAGATATCAATGGTCCCTCTATACAGGCAGACCATGTGAATAAGAAAAATCTTAGTGATTTGAGCATGGAGACTGATGTGACTATGAATTAATCAGTAATTGATTGCAAAGGTTACCGAAACTGTATCTAATCATTGTAGACAATATAATTTGGAAACCAATTCATATTACAAAATATTGATGAGTTACCAGTCGTCGTTAAGTCACAAAGTTGCTAAGCCTAAGTCATAACAGATTGAGATGTCAGTAGATACCAGCACTATCTTAACACTGACTAATCGTCTGCTCTATTGGACATCTACATGTGTTGGTGATTATTTTGATTATTTCATAATCGAATATTAAGTTAAATTCAAATGAGCGGTAGATTTAAGATGAAGGTATGAGCCAACGAGAAGATAGAAACATTATCAAAATTTGTTCTTACCTCCTGGTGATCCACTTTCTAGGCTTGAATTGCTATCCATTTTGTTGGATGATTTAACCGTCACAGTTGGTATTTCATCCTCATGACTAGATGATGGTCGTTGATCTTTATTATAACTCATCCTGGAGAGTTATTTCGTTGTTGACTTGGCTCGGTGGATTTAAAAACAAACACCAAACACCAGTTAAAAAAATAAAAATGAAGTAAAAATAAGATATAAACTTTTCAAAGTATCAAAATCTTGGTTATATAGCTGCTGGCTAGTAATTTACATTGTACAGTTTGGTAATGGTGTAAATGTAATAGAAAAAATGAGATGGAAATGTAAATAAATCCTTTAACCATACTAACAACTTTGATTATGTCGAGTAAGTTGAAAACATATGAAGCCACCGTTGTTACTATAGGGTATGGATGACTCAAGGAAGACATGTTATGGTAAAAAAGACTGGAGTAACTTTTCCTATGATTTAGGGCACTTTTAACACAGATTAACCATCCACAAATCCAAATTTAATTTAAACTGGAATCTAGAAATTCAAATTAAACACCAATTCTTGAATTACAATATCAAACACTGAAATTGCAGATGGTCGACAATTTTTGTTTGTCAACTAAAGTTGAACCGTTTCCTACAATTGTTCAACACTTTTACCTTGAAAACATTTGTTGGCAACATTATTATAAAAGTAATCATTGCTATTTGACAATATACAGCAAAATAATGACAAAATAGAAGAATAATTAATTACTAATTGACTAAGGCAATCACACTTTTCATTATGCATTTAACTGTTGATACAAGTTAAAGGACAAGTCTGGGTTGAGATGGAGCTTCCAACATGGAAGTGGTTGCATCAATCAATGGGAATTAATCGTTTTTCATTATCTATCAATGATCGAAGGTTGATTTCAAAACATTTTCCAGTTCGTTTAAAATATCAGCTTTTAAATAAATAGCTAATGAATCAAATTTTATTAAGTTTCATATTTATATTAGTTATATCATTATATTCAACAGTTGAATTTACAATTGATTTAGGCTTAATCATGGTTTGGTTGGAAGGTTAGGTAAATTTACAAATTTGATTGTGTATTCATTCTAACCTTCATCACTTTCATCGAGATCATCATCCATATCTTCATAGTCATCATCATAAAAATCAGCTAGATCAGCTTCCATTTCAGGTGGCTTTGATTTATACTTGATACAGTATTCTTCAATTGTTGTTGGAACAACAACATTATCTTTCTCTGCTTCATATCGACTGGCAGCAACTTGTTTCCTAATGATATTTTCATATTCTTTGTCTTTTCCTGATGAATCTTTCCATCGTCTGTACATAACTGATGCATCCACATTGGCTGGTGAAAAGGTGTTTGGTTCATTCAGCAAGGAAATAACACTCAGTAAAATAGTCCGAACATTTTGAGTTGGATTCCATCTTTCACAAGGAAGTTCACCACTTTGTGGGTCATCGATTGGGGGGTGTAAAATAGATATACATAAATCTCCATTCTCATACACATTAGGATGCCAAACTTTAGTAAGGAACTTAAGTGTTGGAGGCGAATATGGATAATCGACAGGGAACTTCATATTTGCCTTGAAATAGCCACCTTCATAAAGCGTATGCGGAGGGCCAAAAATGGCTACTTCCCATTGAAATAGATTATCCTCATCTGCTAATTTAACACTAAAACCTTCCACTGGTTCTTCTTGAAGAGATTTAAATTCCATTGAGAGTGCCCGTAATGCGGATGTGGTTGGACTCGACGCTTGTCCCATTTTTAAGATGAACTAATTACAATCAAATGATTTAATGGATGATTGATGGATGGGAACACTTATAGTGTTGCACGATACGATACGAGTATAATAATATTGATATTTCACTTAGCAATACGTATCGATACTTTGAAAGATGGTATCGATATGTAGGAAATGGTAGGAAATTCAAATAAAGAAAAGCTTTTGCTTGACTCAAGTGGCTTGAGTCAAGCCAAAAACTTTAGAGTCTAAAAAACACTTATAAAGAGGTAAGAGCAAAGAGTAACAGATAGCACGACAAGGTAAAAAAATGGGCGATATTAAAATAATATCATCGAAAATATCGATATGAAAAATTTACGATATCAATATTATCGATGTTATCGATATTTATTTGGGACAATCCAAACACAATGAAAAGGATCAGGTAATGAACCTAAAAAACATGACATTTCAACATTTTTAGGCTTTGAGAAGAGTCCTTTTCTCACTAATAATATTGCCAGGTAAAAAGTATTCGCAGGAACAGAGGAGATCAGAGATATTGAAGTTCAACATTATGCAACGAATCATTGCCCTCATTTTTTTCAATACTGAAGAGGGTCTCCATTTAAAGGAAGTGTTTGACTCAATAGCGTTTAATCCCTGATGTAATGCGCTAGTTTCATCAACCAATGTTAGAGCTTTTTTCACATCAATTGACCATAGAAAGAAAAGAAAGAGAAAATTAACCTCTGAATGATTTCTTCAATTTAAACGCTATTTTTTATAACATTTCGTACTTCCTTTTTTATTGTTTACCCAATTACGGAATACTGATCTCGCAATGGTTACTTTCGGTAATTTAAAGACTGACATCTATCAGCCAATTCAGAAGTTTCTAGAAAGGTATCGATGAACTTTAAAAGCCATTAAACCACAATTGAGGAAATTTTATTACCAGATAATCAGGAATTTGCCTGTTAATCATTTTTTCCATTATGTTGTAATTGATTTTTTGCTTGTTTAATATTGAACAATAACAATTGTTGATCAAAATTGATGACAATTAAACTTTTTATCTAGTAAATTAGATGGCACCACTGGAATCAACTGAAATGAAAATTCGAAATTTTGATTCCAACTGTGATTATCTTTCAACAAATGGATATATAATCCCATTATTAATCCTTTCAACATTTAATAGTCATCGCCATGTAGTCATTAATTCGTTCAATCCAAGCATAGTAAAGTCATCTTTTCTGGTAAATTTGATGAACTCTTCTGGTGGTACCTTTTGATTATACAACCCATATCATGGATCAATACATTTTTATCATCTCATCTTTAAGGTTAGTTATTCTCATGTGAGAAACTGTCATGTTAATATCCTAAGGTTATTTACTGATATAAATGAAAAAGCTTTTCTTTCTATTTATTCCATTTCAAAGGTAAAAAACATGAATGGTTCAGTGTACTTTGGTTGCTTTTGGTAAAAATTATGATACAATAACAAGTGCAGCAACATCTGAGAATGATAAGCAACCATTTTGAATCACCTTACAAAGACTTCCTCACAAACAAGCCATTGACAGTCGACAAAGCCTCTTTAATTGGGAAAGATGGTCGCAGCATTGGTAATTTGTTCAGTCAAGACTCAATTAGCCATCAGAAACAAGATTTCCTGTGATACAGACATTTTATTACATTTTGTGCTTCGTTATTTTTATAACAAGCGGACAGCAGTGATTATTTTTTTGAACATCAGTTTATTAGTTTATAAAAATGTCCAACATCAAACCAAATGGACAGTTTGAAATGACAATGCTTTGAGCATTCATTCAAAATGTAGATTAAACTTGACTTTTAACAGTCAACCTGAAATTGACAACTTAATACATTCACGTTTACAATTGTTGTCAATGTAAATTCACTTTTGACAGTTTCAAGTGGCAGGAAAGTAATTTAAATATACTCAGAATTACATTTGGAGATATTAAAATTTAAATCACAAGGCAAATCTTTTGCTACATACATTAATATTAATAAACGTTGAGAGTCAAGTGTAAACTAGATTTAAAATTGAGCTTTCCAAATTTTCATGACCATTTTCATGTCACAATTTTCATCACTTTACATTACCATTTGTTTCATTATCATGCTGAACATGGATGATGATGTTATAAAACCCAGATTGTTATCCATAATTAATTTGCCCATTAACAAGGTCTAAAGACTTGAAACAAGATGATAATGATGGATAACCGTTGAAACTGGTTTCATGTTAATTTCAACCAACAGGCAACAATTAACTAAATCCATGTTAATATTTCATCGCGCCATTGATTACCAATGGCAATGCTTTGCTTTTATCGTTGCTTTTATTGTTATTTTACTGCTTCCAAGTCATTATTTAATGTTTAATGAATGTTTGATGATCAAAAATAGCCAAATGTCGGAATTAGATTCAAGACAATCAAAGATAGATTGTCATTTATAGACTCTAGACAATCCTTTTGATTTAGTAAATGTGATTAAATGATTAATTGTATAAAAGAGACTGAAAAAGATGAAATAACTCAATTTATTGTCTTGTAACAATTGACTATTTCTGATTCTGTTCAGTTGATATCTTAAGGTAACTTGACCATGTCAATATTTACCTTTATCAACAGTCATCATATTGTATCAATCAATAACTTGAACATGCAACATTCATTTAATTCAATAAGAAGTTGATCAGAATCATTTGGAAATCCGTAGTTTAATCAAATCTCCCAATAAACGGATCAGAGGATTCATGAGTGTTTGACTTGATAGTGATTTAAAAAGCTAACAATTGCTGATGATATCTAATCAGATCAATCTATTGATTCAATTATAACCCAAACAAACCCAGAATCAGCATCCACTTTAATGATGATAACTTTTGGAACTTTTGGAAATGCAATTTTCCAAATTAACAAAATTCAATTTGATCACGTCTAGTGATTAACAGCAACATTTAAGGTATAAATTGAGAAAGAAAAGTAAATTACTCATTTTACCAGAATAAACATTCATTTAGTTTACTTGGGAGTAATAATGTTGAAGGTTTGCCTTTGTTGAGCTTAATTTTGTCAAGTACAATTCATATTAATACACTTTTGTCTCTTCTTTTCATTTTCATCATTAAAGGTGAATAAAAAGGTAAATTGGTGTGCAGATGACAAAGGAATAAAAGAGGAACCAAATAATACAAAAGTAAATGTTATTTGTTCAGTTGATGGATTAAATGTTTCAATGATACAGACAAGAGTCCACAAGTGGATTCAACATTTGATGAGCATTTTCAAAATGATGAATGATTTGAGGATTGGAATGAAAAGCAAAAAATTCGGGAATAGTTAAGTTGTTATTACCAGGCAATGTTTTTATATTAAAGAACCATATCAACTAAACATGATAGAATGCTAGAGTTTTGAATAATGATATTCCTTGATTGTTTCAATTGACAAGAGGAGTCCTCTTCAGAACTCAGATGCATATTATAGCTGTTTGATTGATTAAATGATCGGCACTTGATGAGATTCACTCCAAGCTTCATTCAGTACTGGATATAAGCTGGACGAGACAGTTTTTTGAAAATATTGTAGTTCGCCTGTTCAACTCATGGCTTTATTTTGATCGACAAGCTCTAGCCCAAAGTCAATCAGCATATTTACATGAAACTTCGTAAAATCACAAAATCGATTGCACTTTCTTGTGACAAAAGATTGAGCGTCAAAAGTCACAAAAAAGTTGATTGATGCACACACTTGAAATGGTTGAAAAATATCAATAAAATATCATTGAAAAAAATGAGATTGATATTAAAATTTTTATTTTCATATTTTGCCATTTCTATTTATTTAACTTCACCATGAAATAGTTGCTATAAATCAGTATTTACTCAAAGGTAAGTAAAATCATAAATTGAAAAAATTTGAAAAAAAGACTCAAAGAAATATCAATATATTATTGGATTGTAGCAAGCGAATCGCTGAAGAAACCAAGAACTGAATCAAATCAAATGTGAACTTGCAAAACATGAAACAGTATTCAGATTTTGAGAATTCTTGATTTTCACAAGACTGAATTATTCTGTGGAGTGCAAAATTATTTTAATCAATCTTTTGAAGCATTTATTTTCCAAATGCTCAGCAATTTGACTGTAACCATGTCTATCTATGATTTATGATCAATGGATGGCCCATGATTGATCATTGACCTGAATTTTATTGTAAATCATTTGTTTGCCTGACCATGAAATCATATCAGAGCAACCATTTATACCCATAATCATATGTTAACATTTTCTGGTTAAACTTTCCGTTTTGTAACCATTCATAAGAGTAACTAGAGATGATTTCCTGGTACTTTAGGTCAACCTTTTAACATGCAAGCTATTCATGAAGCTGACTTTTATTTTGTATAAAAGATACAATTTTAAAGCTCAATTGAAGTATTTTTAAATCGAGAACTGTTGACAAGGATTAGATCAGAATATCAGGGAATAAAAGAGTTGAAAAATGATGTTTGAAAGGCTTAACTGATTATTATCTTGAAAATAAATATTTACTCAGCTTGATTCATTTTGACTCAATTTGGATTCCACTTTTCCCCTTTGACTTATTCATGGTATTCCAGAGTTGCCTTTGTGGTAATGAGAAGTTGAAAAAATGAAAGCTTTTCAGAGCAAAATTGAATCATGTATACTAATTAGTCTGAGCAAAGACTTGGAATCTTCTTATTGCTTCTTCCATTTTTTGGTTGCTTTTTCATTTTTTTGCACATTTCTAATTGAACAATTTATGCTGATTTTTCTATGAATTTTGTCAGAACATTTACAGGTTATTCAGGTAACAAAACTATCAGGTTTCATTCAACCTGATTAACTCTGATTCAAGTTGATTGAAGCGCTTCAATTGACTTGATGTTAAAAGCTGTTTACTTTATTTTGTTGATTTTTTCTGGTTTTCCTGTTTATCTTTTTATCAGGATAACATGGAGTAACTGTCAAATATGATGAGAATATTGTTAGCCATCTGATAATACTGAGTTTTAAAAAAAGTAATTCCATTAGTTTTGATGAAATAACACTGAACAGAGACTTAGCCGGATAAATTGAATTCATTTAATCGTAAAAAGTGAAATGAAATCTTATAAGACTTAAGATGATTATATTGCGAGTTGGAACAATGAAGTCAATCCATTTTATTGTGATTAATTTTCATTAATTTAATTTAATTTTCGTCTTAAATATAACATTTTTGAAACAAAAAAAATTTAGTTAATTGAAGTAACATTTGATTATATTAATAGTTGTAATAGTTATAACTAGACAACATTATACTCAATTCACTGAAACCCTGTTAAATGTAATGTTTGGATAAACATTGTGAATAAACTATCAAATAGTCATTCAGCTTTGCATAAAACCTTTTATTACATTTGTTAACCCATAAATGTCATGGAATTCATTTCAAGTTGATTCTGAAATGGTTCAACTGAATGTGGTGTTTGATAATTTACACTGAATTGTATCTTAAGCAATGAATATGATCCATTTTGGTTTGGTGATAAAAGATAACAGTTACATGAACAAGACACTTTCCAAGTTCAGTTTACCGAAAAAAAGACACTAGAAGTCAGTGTAGCTGCAAAATTCATTAATCGATCCTTCGATGAGTGAAACAAAACATTGAACTAGAAGAATGGAAGTTTCTCAGTTGGAAGAGTGAAAAGAAGGTCACTTTATTGAGGCCAAATTGATTACAGTTGGTTAAATTCCTGGTGACTTTAATTCATTAATCGTCTTCTTCTGCATCACGAACAAATATCTCATATTTATCCAGAAGTCGAGCGCCTAGTTTAGCCATATACGCACCAAAGTTGACACCAGCAAACATCGTGATGAGCACTTTAATCACTGTTAACCAAGTTCGTCGAGGTTTCTCACGATAATCAATCAATTCATCAACATATCTCATTAGATGTCTATCCGGTTGTAAAGATGTTGATGTTTTATTTTCATTGGTAGAGCTTTGTTGTTGTTCAGTTGAAAGTAAACGACAATAATTGTAAGTTACTGATTGAAGTAAAGTCATTTCATTAAGGATTGGTAATTTGGAGGTTGAACAACATGATGGTCTGAGTAATAAAACTGAGCAAATAGGATTCATTGGTGATCTTGAAGAGATTGTCATGAAAAGGCGAGATGAAAAAGGAGTAAAGTTGATGAGATGTTTCATTTTAATTCTGTGCATTGAGGTGACCATTGTTACCTTGTCAAAAGACAACAGTCAGAGAGTGATGAAGGGTTGGCAAAAGTGATGTCAATGTTGTCCAGAGTTGATTCAGAACATGAAATGAGATTGTTGGTGATTAGTGTAGCATGAAACAAGAGCAAATTATCCTAACAGAGAGGATGACAGGGAAAATGCTTTGTTAATCACCAATGTAATACCTTGCAAGTCTTTATGGCAAATAGGTGTCTCTCGTTGAATTTACTGTGAACCAGATTACTTAGAGTGCAATGCGATTGATCATCAACTGTGGTTCATGGCGCAATTGCTCAGAGTATAAGAGAGAGAGAGAAACTGAATCTTCTGAACACATGAGACTTGCTCTAAGAACCCATCTGATCTCATCTTCGAGCGGTTATCATCATTGAGTTGATATTATTACCAGCATTTTGTTTCTCTTTCTTCTATTTCTTCACTCTTGTTGGATCGATAAGTCTAGGTGATCTTTAGAAGGACTTAATTTTATCATGAGCTCGCTTCAAATGTATGAATATTACTTTCACGTTCACTTTACTCATCCTTTTACATGAATAATGTCAAGAGACAGGAAAAACGAATTAGATGTAAGATAAAAAGGCCTTTATTAGTAGTTCATAATGGTACATAAAACGTGTGCGTATTAATGTACATATCGTTTACCTGAACAATATCGCAGTCACATTGAGAATTGACTAAATTTACATTTTTTCTGGTCGAATGCTATTAAATTCTTGGGTTAACTTTACTAGTTTTAGCTTTAAAAGGCTAAATTTTAAAACGAGCGCTGGGTGCAACTAAAAGCAGCCAAAAAATATTCAAAATTGAAAATTAAAGGCTTCTAAGGCTTACTTGCAAAAAAGCAAAATGTTTTCTGTTTTTTTTATTACTATTTCGATATATTTCAAAGTGCATTCAGGTTAAGAAAACATAATGAACAAACTACTTAATTTCATAGCAAAACTTTAAAACAAATCAAAGTTTAAGTAAATTGTTTTCTAGACTCGACTTTCTAGTTAAAATCTGGCTTTTCTGTTTTTAGGTGTAACCCGAGGATTGTTACTAGAAAGACACAATTTTCATATTTATAAACAGATTGACACAAATGGGCAAAAACGGTTAAAAATAAATTTAATTCAAATTCAGATTCTGTTGGTTTGTAGGGAAATGCAAAACGAGTTTATTTGTGCGATTGAAAGGTTTGTCTGATGAACAGCTTCCGAGAAAATCGGACTCGAAGTGAAAACTTGCAAGGCTTTTTGTGCAATTATGGAAGCAGATTTTTTCACTGTAATGATTTCCCTTATGTAAATTTCAATGGCCAACCAGAAAATGCACTTATTTTGAGGAATAAATTTTCTTTCTTCTGTAAAACATATAAGTTCGATTTTCAGTAAAAACGATCGCTTTCTATGTTCGTAAGAGTTAGCGAGCTGAAACTTATTATTTGTCCATGAAAGTTGTTGGCTCACATCATGGATTGAATAATTTTATCAATTAAATAACAGTTCTCTTGATTTTGGCCATTGGCATTAAAACTTTGATACTCAATATTTCGAGAATGGCATCAACTACAATCATTATTCTTGGCCAAACATTAGATTTCATTATGGGCTATAAGATTATAAGTAAATGAGTGAATATCTAATAAAATCTAAGCTGATTCATTCAATAAGATCCTTCTAATAAGATTATCCTTATAAGATTTGTATCCAACTTTATAAATCAAGTCTAAAATCTGGCAACAGCAGCTATAAAATGCTATAACTTTTTTTGTAGAATTTTGAATGATTAAGTATCTCAATATATTACAGACCATAATGAGATCTAATTTTTAGCCAATAATTATGATTGTAGATGCTGCCATACTCGAAATATTTCGCCTCGAGTTTTGCAATGCCAATGGCCAAAATCAAGAGAACTGGTGACAAATTGAAGAAAGTATTTGATCCATGATGTGTAAGATCAATTTTCATCTACACATAATAGGTTTCAGCCCTCTAACTCTTATGGTCACAGAAAGTGATCGGTTTAACTGAAAATTGAACTTGATCTGTTGTACAGAAACAAAAAATGTTATTTATCAAAATAAGACCATTTTCTGATTGATGATCAAAAGATACATCAGCAAAATAAGTTTCGCTAAAAAATCTGCTTCCATAGCTTAGCAAAAAGCGATCGAAGTTTTAACTTTGACCTCAATTATTTCGAAAACTGTCCATCGGATGCATTATTTAATAGTACCGATGGACTCAGCCTTTATTTCCCTTCAAACCCTCCAAGTCTAAACTCTTTACTCAAATGTTCGAGTCTTTTGCAGCACTCTTTGCATTTCATTTGCAAGTTTAACCAGAAAATTGGTTTATTTACCAGAATATGGGTTGAGATGAGTTTGGTTTGTTAGATAAGTTGTTTCTAGTGCATTTACAGCCCAAACATCATGACCCGAATGCGCTATTGGAGGTCCAGTGAATTGCATTTAAACATTAGTTGGTAGAGAATTGAATTGGTAAAATAATGATGGTCGTAAATGATACCATTCTCGAAATATCGAGGCTCAAAGTTTTAATGCCAATGGCCAAAATCAAGAGAACTGTTATTTAATTGATAAAATTATTCAATCCATGATGTGAGCCAACAACTTTCATGGACAAATAATAAGTTTCAGCTCGCTAACTCTTACGAACATAGAAAGCGATCGTTTTTACTGAAAATCGAACTTATATGTTTTACAGAAGACAGAAAATTTTATTCCTCAAAATAAATGCATTTTCTGGTTAGCTATTGAAATTTACATAAGGGAAATCAGTACAGTGAGAAAAGTTGCTTCCATAAATGAACAAAAGGCGATCGAAATTTCAACTTCGAACTCGATTTTCTCAAAAACTGTTCATCAGAGAAATCTTCAAATCACACAAATGGACTCTTTATTTATGTTCTTACAAACTAACAGAGTCTAAAATTTGAAAAAAAATATTTTAACCTATTTTGCTTTTTGTTTCATTTTGTATCAATTTGTGCATAAATGTTACAATTGTGTTGATTGTTTCTTTTTAGTACAATCCAACTCGAGTCTTTTTTACTTTAAAACCCAGAAACTGAACCAGGATATTATTCCGAAGGTGCTTCAAAGTGGCTTTTTTGGTTTTGAAGACAAAGTTTTGAATTTTTAATGAGATCTATCCAGTAATCTAAGTTTCGACTGAAGATGTATCTGATTTTGTAGTTCATTTATTTTCCAACATTTTCAAGTTACTTAGTCGGTTGCATTATTGAACAGTGATAGCACAATTGTAAATTCAATATGAAAAATTAAATTGTTAATCTATCAGATCTTAAGATGTTTGAAGTTCAATAATGCATAATAGCTTCACCATTGTAATAAAGTTTATGCTTTGTATCCATATTCATCACAAAAGATATTAATGTGAATATCTCTATTAACTGAATGAATTGTTAATGATAAACTTAATAATTTAGATGAAAATAATCAATAAATACAGTGATGGCAGTGATGATGAAGCATATGATGTTTATTGAAATGAAAACTCAATTATTTTGATGCATTTACATTCATCGTAATTGGATAAAAAGTGGAAAATGGTAAACAATTAAGATTTCAAGCGTACTTTCTTTTTCTTATTACAGTTGATCATTTCATTGGATATCAATGGAAATTGAATCTGTAACTGTTCCAAGTCGATTAATGTTGAGGTTATTTATACTTTTACCTCTTTGATTTGGATTTACGAAGGAAATAATTGACTGAATAACAAATTATCGAGGAATTAATCGATGAAAGGTTACGCTATTAACAATGGAAAATCAATTCCCTTATAAAAGTGAATTACTATTGAACTGATATTTTCTGAACAACAGTATTTATGGATCGATATTGAATCTTCAATGAAAGTATTGAATATAATGAAAAAGATTGAGTTTGATGAAAGGGATGAGCATGATTAATGAATTTTATGGCAAATCATTTCCAAGTTAATTCCTTCTTTGAAAAGAGGAATGTAATTAATTATATAGATTTGTAATTAACTGGATTCCTTTTGAGTGTTTAGCAAAGTTAAATTCAATTCAACTATTGACATTGAAATGGATTTCGGCGTTTTTAAGCATCCTTCATCAGTTTAATTCATAAATGTAATTGATATTATGTTCGAAAAACAATTTTTTACACATTTATTGATCGTATTTTTCAGATTTTTAGACAAAATCGTTTGAGCAATTTGTACAATTTGTATTTTATTAGAGTAACTGATTGATCAGTGTTTCAGGGAATGGCAGATAATCTGTTTGTTGAGCGATTTTTGACTTCGTTTCAATTATCAATGTTCATAAGACAAACTGTCAATCAAATCATACTCTTTGGACAACTTTCAATGTTACTCGTTGAATCAATATTAAAGTACAAAAAAGCATAGAATCAATTTTATTGATTTTGTGCTCTTTTTTCCTGGGCATCAAGAGTTAGAATTAGATTCCGTTTTGTTTTTGTTTCTTATAAGTTATAACACATTGCACCATTTCATTGGACAATCAATCAATTCTTTTCAATTAACTGGTAGTACTTTGAAAGGAAGAGTTTATCATTTTATTGAATTAAATTTAATTTCAAGTTGAATCAGCAATTCACAATTAAACCAATACCAATCAGAAGAGTCTTCAGTCCTCTCAAATCCTGAATTTCAGGTTCTTTTAGGATCACTCGAGAAACACAGAGACAGCAGAGAAGTTGTTTGCACAAGGATTACAATCCTTTTAACCACAATCTTAACCAAAGATTTGAAACTTGAAACCAATAATCTGGTCAAGTCTAAACTGGACTTTGTATCAGCGTACACACGCTCAAAGTTTAACACAATATTAGCTTAAGAAAGCTTAAGACCGCACAACAAGTATTACAATACTTTTAACCTTAACTATTACCAGGCTGAAAATAGCTAATTAGAGCAAACTCAAAGAACACAATCGATGAAGATTCAGAGGTAACAACTAAGAACAGTATGGCAATACTGAGAAACACAATCAAATTCAGGAACTGGATTTATCTGAACAGTACTACAGTACTTTAGAAACATAGACAAATCAGAATTTGCACAAATTAAATGAACTTTAATTAACTCAGATTAACGTGAATCTAACATAAAGAAAAGGTTGAAAAATGTAGTCTTTTTATACTAATATAAACGGAAGGAAAAGGTTTACAAACCTTAAGGAAAAGGAAAGAAACTGTAAGAAAGGAAACTGTTGTCTCCATTGACAATTTGACTACAAACAAAGGATACCAATAGTAACCGTAACAAAGGGATTAATGATAAATTAAAAAATGAAAAAGATATGGATCCTAAGTATTACAATACTTTATCAGATCTTTAAAGAAAAATGAATTAAATTTATCTTGGGTAACTCTACCCTTCAACTTAATTAATCTTATACTAGTTTCACCAATTGATGATTGAAATTACGAGTTGGAGATTAAGATTTACATGCAAGAGCTGCAATGGCCCAGCATTACGCAAAGTCCTGTTGCCGATTCCATCCACATGATGCTAACTCTTAGCGTACAATATATTCTTACGATTCGTGAACTGCTTTTAAACGAAAATACTTTCGATTAAATAACATTTGATTATTGTTATTACAAGACAACATTATAGTCAATTCACTGAAACCCTGTTAAATGTAATGTTTGGATAAACATTGTGAATAAACTATCAAATAGTCATTCAGCTTTGCATAAAACCTTTTATTACATTTGTTAACCCATAAATGTCATGAAATTCATTTCAAGTTGATTCTGAAATGGTTCAACTGAATCTGATGCTTGATAATTTACACTGAATTATATTACAAGCAATAAATATGATCCATTTTGGTTTGGAGATAAAAGATAACAGTTACATGAACAAGACACTTTCCAAGTTCAGTTTACCAAAAAAAAGACACAAGAAGTCAGTGTAGCTGCAAAATTCATTAATCGATCCTTCGATGGGTGAAACAAAACATTGAACTAGAAGAATGGAAGTTTCTCAGTTGGAAGAGTGAAAAGAAGGTCACTTTATTGAGGCCAAATTGATTACAATTGGTTAAATTCCCGGTGACTTTAATTCATTAATCGTCTTCTTCGGCATCACGAACAAATATCTCGTATTTATCCAGCAGTCGAGCGCCTAGTTTAGCCATATACGCACCAAAGTTGACACCAGCAAACATCGTGATGAGCACTTTAATCACTGTTAACCAAGTTCGTCGAGGTTTCTCACGATAATCAATCAATTCATCAACATATCTCATTAGATGTCTATCCGGTTGTAAAGATGTTGATGTTTTATTTTCATTTGTAAAGCTTTGTTGTTGTTCAGTTGAAAGTAAACGACAGTAATTGTAAGTTACTGATTGAAGTACAGGCAAGTTATTAAGGATTGGTGATTTGGAGATTGAACAACATGATGGTCTGAGTAATAAAACTGAGCAAATAGGATTCATTGGTGATCTTGAAGAAATTGTCATGAAAAGGCGACAGGAGACATGAGTAAAGTTGACGAGAAGATGTTTCATTTTAATCTTGTAAAAGTTTGGTTTTGTAGGAAGTTATCTTAACAGGGAAAATCCTTCATTGAAATGTTTAATATGATTGCAATGGCTTTAGTTATTTGGACAAATAAAAATCGAAAGCTGTAAAGTGTTCCACCCTTAATAACCATGTAACATAAATTGATCAATTTATACTCAGCAAGAGATTCAATAAGGCATAGACTAAAAGATTGACCAAAATGGGTGAACCACAAAAGCGTATTTATTATCAAAAATTTAATGAAATGTCGATAAACCAGAACGAAATTATTCACCAATGTAATACCTTGCAAGTCTTTATGGCAAATAGGTGTCTCTCCTTGATTTTTATGGTGAACCAGATTACTCAGAATTCAATGCGATTGATCATCATCTGTAGTTCATGGCGCATTGCTCAGAGTAGAGAGAAACTAATATCTTTTATGAATAGTCAAGACTTGCTCTTCGAACCCATATGATCATATGTAATTTTTTTCACTGTTGTTGGATCGATAAGCCTAGTTGATTGTCTTAAGGACTTCATCACAAATTCATGAAAATTTCGTGAACATTACTTATTACTCATCGTGTTGCCTGGGTTGAAGTGTAATACAACAAAGACCAATAGTCCGAGTCTATTACGGTTATTGATAGACGCGCAAGCTTAATTTTAAAATAAGCGCTCCGTATCGAGTTAGGGACAAAGACAGGGAAAATTGATCAATACTCCTCCTGTCTTTGTTTGCCTTTTTCTGGTTTCGAAGACAAACCTTTGTTCTGGTTCATTTTCACTTCTGATTTTCCTTTGCTTCAAGTTCATTTTGACATAATTTTGAATTTTGTAGTTCATTTATTTTCCAACACTTCAAGTAACATTTTCAACTCATTTATAGATAATTATATTTCTTGAAAATGGCAGATGCAATGGAAGATACTGAACCTCGTGAAGACCGAGGTAAGTTTATTAATATTTTTATTTCTATAAATGTTAATTATTTCAATGTACTTTTAATAGTTACTATCAAAGTCAAGATTGGAGGCGAAGATTATCATGATATTGTAATTGATTGGTCAGACGGTAAAGATACAAGTCAAATTTTAATCGACCAAGTAAGTTGATTGTATTTTGTATTTAATTTCAACCTCCAATTTTAACAAGTTTCAAACTTAACCAAAATATTTTCTTATTTTATCTTCAAAGCTTTCATTGTTAACAGGAATACCATGCGAAAACATAGACTGCGTTATTGTCAATTGTGTTCCAGGCCACGTTTATATATCCAATTCAGGACCATCCAGAATAGATCGTGATAAATTTCCTAGAGAAAAATATAATGCATACATAACTGACGGTGATTGTTTTGCGATTGCTTTCGATTTCGATTATTACATGGATCGATTTATTTCGAGGCTAAATTTAGTGAGTCGTCAAAATTATGATGATGAGCTATGTACAAGAGACTTTTGTCAATACTCGAATGCAAGACCTATGTTGAATCGACGAATAAAAATCATGAAAAACGCTGCATTGCTGGCAAAATTTAAAGCGATTCTCAGAGCAGCATATATTCCAACATCTACCGGACGAGTTATGGCAGCACACAGAGCTAACTATAGTTGTAACATACAGCCGTACATAACTGCAAAGTGCAAACGCAACCCGTACTCTGGAAATCCTTTCTCTTTAAAAACTTACTATCCACGAACTCATGGCTAATGTTCACTTGATGTCATTTATCAAGTGATTAATTTATCTATTCATAAAGGACAAATAATTTAGTAAAATACAAGCTTTATTCAATAAAATCATTCCTTGATTTAATCCTTTATCATAACAGAATGATGTCTCATCAAAAGATGAAAGTATTTCTAAAATTTTGAATGTTCATCGCCCTTGTACGCTTTATATACCTTGCTCAGAAAAGTTAATTCGCTCATTTTATTTTATAATTTTATGTTCTATATGCATAAAGATTGAGAATTTTTCATAATTTATGTGTTTTATATTCAATAACTGATACAATAAATTAAATATACTTGCCACTCTTCGATTATTAGTGACTGTTTTTATCAAAGCAACACACGCAACAGAACACAAAACGCTTTGCCATATTTTAATAGGATTGATGGCTTACAATTTCAAAAAATGAAGGCATTTTGGAATAAAAAATACAAATAAAGCCTCAATCTTAGAAATAAATTGGTAATTTACATTAAAAGATCCATTAATTTACTTTTCTGTAGTTGATTCACGTCTAATTTGTTTCCTCCTTTACCACCTTTAAGTAAGTAATTTAGCTCTTTAATTGTATTGTCATTGTTAAATTTTTCAACCTTTTTCGGTGTTATTTTAGGATCCTCTTTCTTTGTAATCACAGGTTGAGTTTCTTCGATTTCTGGTATTTTTGATAAGCTGATACCCTGTTTGTTGAGTAATGTTAATTTACTACAGAATCTACACCGATTGTACAAAAATTTTCTTTTAACTCCTTTCACTTTT